TATGAAGTTAACGTTAGCAACAAGTAGCGAAAAAAAATATACAACACTCGATAAAGTACAGTAGTGTCACATGAGCGGTGAGTGTATTATATGAAAATGTCATATTTATGTAAAAGAATACATGAATATAGAAAAGGCGCGGACAAAAATGGGAAAGTTAACATGCGAATATGAGCAATTTAAAGAGCGTACAAAAATTAACATCTAATAATGCTGTGACTGTCTGAACGATAAAATAACAAGTTCGTATGAGCGATTCAAAATACCGTGAAAACAGTAATAAATTGTTTGTGGGTACGACTGCGAAACAAATCGTGAAAATAAGTAAAGTATAATATGACAGAAATTGGTCTGTGGTGCTGACAGAATAGTGAAATATGTTAAATATATGTTCCGTTGAGCCGTAGTAGAATAAATAGCATCGACTAGCGATGAGTGGATTTGAATTTAAATGAGTAGTTCCCCATTCGTAGAATGACAATAGGCAAGTCGTGAAATGATAACTGCATTGACGGGTGATATTCGTTGCTGTACTGCAATTGATAATAATCATAAAATGTGAAGTCAGTGAACGTTGTCGTCTGTGTTATGACAGATGCATTGAGTTATCGTTAAATATGTATTAGTAGAATGACCAGAGGAACAGAATAGTGACTGAGTAGACGAGGTACGTAGAGTCGAATTCCTTTTTGGTCATGAAGCCTAGAGTGGTCTGTGTGGTTTGAGGGAGATGCGCTCGATCTCGTTTGTTACAAAACCGTACCAAGGCATGACAAAAATACCAATACATATGATTAGCGATGGCGACGTATGAGACTGACTTGGATGTGACGAACAAGAGTGTATCTTTGAGAGACTAGCTCTAAACTCTATGTTCTGATATACCGTGCGATGGGTATAGAATAGTAGTTGCAGTACTCGAATAACGTTTTTGGTTGATAAATGATGCGGCGTGCAGTTATGCATGTGAAAGAATAGATAAGATGAACGTAATGGTTTCTAATCAGCTAGTTAGATGCATCCACAGACATAATAGGAGGCGATGAAGAATGTGTGTTATGATAACATAAAATAATGACCTCGACTAAGTGAATGAATGTAATATTAGATCAAATGACATGAAAAAAATTGGAACGAACTCACTTAAAGCAGGGAAATTTCACGTTTTGAATGGTAAAAATATTCCAGTGAGTTTTGAATGTCAGAAAGTGGAGTATTCATAAAATGATAATCTGTTCGGTGAGCAAGATGATTGCGAAAATGTCATAATTTAATGACAGCATGAACATGATTATTAATTCCACATTCGGTTATGATATTGAGAATAATGTAATAATAAGCATATAATGATACTTCGGATCATGATGGAGCAAACCGACGAATGGATCAATGAGAATAGTTGACATGAGGACAAAGTATCGATAAGATAATACGACTTGAGCATGTCCATGTCATGTTGCACAGGCTGTGCTGGTTGCGTCGGATTGGAGATTGCGCTGGCTTCGCTGAATTTGTTCGCCGAACGTATAGAGTGCAGAAGTTCCTTCATCGACGTAGCTTGCTGCGTTGCGTTCGTCGTCGGCGGGCTTACCAATGATGGGGCCCGTAGTTTTGTCGTCGTTAAGGTCGGACGATGTTCGTTGAAGGGCTCACCATTTTAGTGGCCCTTTACGCGCAGGGAAGATGGCTGGGAAGCCAACTCCATTTTAGTCAAGAGTTACTCCATATTTATAGGCAGACAGAATAAAGCTACAGACATGTGATTAATGCGATAAGAAGGGCACACACATATACGCTCATATAAAAACAGTCAGGACTGATTAGCGAGTAATTGACAAGGTCAAAATATGACTCAAGTAGAATGAATAAAATGGGATATCCGCAAGCTAGAATAAGGTAGACGGGCTTGCCACAATAGCTGACACTACACTACTTCATTGACTACTGCTTTAACGATAGAGGCTATGTCTTAAAAAGAACTGAATATTGCAAGTTGTGAGCTTTTAGAGAGTTTCGTCCCCTTTGGCCGCTCGCTTGAGCCTGATTGGATCAACTACCATGTTTGGTGAGCATTTATATTGTCGTTTTTAAAAAAAGCCATAGAGCGAATATCGGACAAAAGTACTATTACTATTCGTTATTCCTATTAATTTCCAAATATTCTTATATAACTTGTAAATGAAGGAATAAATTTTATATTGTGGAAGTGAGTGAGTTAACACTGGACGCCGAAGCTGATCATGTTTGATCTCCTGGATACAAACTAGCTGGATCAGGCACTGACGTGATATCGTGTTTCCGCATACTAAGAAACATTTGTTATGTCCTAAATAACCCTCGGTAGAAAGTGTTTCATAAGAAAGTTAAGCGAAATTTCAGGTTAATGATTTACGAAAATATACTTCCGTCTTGGGGATGAGTAGAAAACAATAGATTGCATGTCAAGTGCATTTAAAACAAAAAAGGCAATCGGCGTACAATAGGATGCAAGTTATAAACAGAGCACTGCAACCTGCTCCCTGGTAAAGGGAGATTCACTTGTGAATCTATAGTGGCATTTGGCCCTAACCACACAATCCTCAAAGCTGAACAAGAGACACTTGGGAAGATAAATGTTAAATATTTAACGCAGAAAAAACCCCAACGATTGATAAGGTGGGAACAATGAAGTGAATTGCAGGCGTGGTCCCTGTTGAATGTTACCTCATATCTTTTATTCATATTAAGTGTATTGTTCTATCTCTAGTCTAAGCTTGTTCCCCATCATGTATTGATGGTTGTTATGATACGATGAGCCAGTGTAGGTACTGATATTACTTCCACGTAAGATTTTAAAGATTAGGAGGTTACATCATAACAAATGTACAATTCTAAAACTAGGTCTATCATTAGAGCAGCAAAGTTATCGTGGTAGACCATAATTCCACAAATCTGTGATGTTATCGGTTCCGAACTACAGGGTTCTCGGATCTGAATATATAATTACTGAAAAGATTAACATTCAAAATGTAACATTTGTAGCAGGTCGGTGATGGTGAACGAATGAGGAATCATTCGAGAATGCATGGTTTAGTAATGCAGACGTGGTCACCTCATGTAAACTCTTGTTTGTGTATTAAGTAAATTACTCTCCATCCGGCACAAAAAGTGTTCTTCATATGCATTAGATGTCATATTGCTGGTTATCACCGTATGACGAGTTAGTGTAAACAATTATGTGACGTCCGTGTGAGATCTTATAGATTAGGTAGTCACATCATGAAAAATCTACAATTTTAGGATTAGTCCTATCATAATAGTAACAAGGAGAGATTTACTAATAGCGAACTAGACCATAATTTTAAAAATTTAGCCTCATACGATTTGAAACTTTACAATAATAACAGCTTCCATTACTAAAATTCAACACTATTTCAACCAGATTAACGGTACATAATTCAGTGTGATTATGAATAATTTCTTATGAGTCCGCACACAGTGAAAGAAAATATTTATTACAATACTTATAATCTCAAAGTACTCTGGATAAGACGCAATCCAACGATACTAATACCTAGGTTCATTACAGATAGGGGCTTGAAGACAAATTAAAAAGCTATAATTATAGGGAGAAGCGATATCGGTGATTGTGAGAAAAGATAGAATAATGTTTGTCTTTTACGAGACCATTTAGATAAGGATAATCGCCTTGCGCTAGACAGCGTCACGATAGCACCACAATGCTTGAGAGAATGCGTCCAGCTAGTAGCGTCTATTAAGACTGAAAAGTTCAGCATCGTTATTGAGTGTTCATCAAATCATTTATCTTGTACAGAGATACGCCATTGGAAATCTAACAAAGAGATCAAGATGCACTAAATGTATAACTAGAACTTCACATTGACTTTGATAAAATTAGTCTCCTTGACTATCCTCTTCAGAACTAAGTTTAGTGTGAACCTAACGCCAGAATTCCAGTAAAGAATTTAAATATTAGATTTTAATAGCACTGGTGGCATTTCGAGCATATTTTAGAACGCATTAAACTTCTCTTACTGATGTAAATCACTAACTTAGGTGGTCTGTGTCGATGAACGAGGACCTACGCTAATTGGACGAGAATGACGTGATCTCCCAGTATATGTTAAAGTCACATCAAACGGTAATGACTAACATGCATTGCCCTTCCGTCTATGGCCAATTCGATCATAGTACAACACAACAAATGTTATTTAAGAAATCTTTTATTAAGAATAGATTTAAGATCTAGAAGGCTAGAACTGCCTCATGCTGCTGTCCAAGAATTACAAGTGATTGAAGCATATTCATTATCTTTAACCTTTCTGAGAATAGGAAAACTGTTCCGCATTCAACCACCCGACTGCCAGATGTTTTGACATTTAAGTGACCCTAAACTAAGTTACTAAAATGACATAATTCATACTTCAATTAATCTGTCTAAGAATGTATTTCAACTGAATGGCGGTTCATCGATGCTGGACACAAAAAAGTGTTCAGCAAGAGCTTCATTCGTTCCATTATTTACAATTTGGAGCTATTTGTGGACACTTGCAAAGGTCATTTGACACGCGCGAAATGGATTTGGGTTACATCAGGTTTACCTTCAGGCTGCAAATTTTTAACTCGCTTGAAACCTTACACTGTCACTTCCTAATTTTAGCTATCAGATTGCTTTAACCTTACCCTCGTGATATCCCCAATTGTTTTTAATTATTTACGTTACTAAATGAAGTTTCATTCAATGTGGCTACTGAGTCAATAACTCAATTCTCTTCTTTTCTGTTCTAGATAGTCTAACATACTGCTTTTCAAACTCTCTAAGCACACAAGATATTTTCCAGCTATACTTAGATCAACCAAAAGCGGAACGTGACAACTTACGTTGATCTAATTGGATCAAGGCTAGATTTCATCTAGGATAAATGTAAATGATCTTGAATGTCTTTTTTTCACGCGGGATTTGAAGTATTACTCGTTTTTAGCTTTCAATAGCGAGATTCGACAAATTATTCGCGTGTGAAAGTATTGGCATTTTGCTAAATTCAGTCGTTAATGATCAGGTTAAACTGTGAAGCATACTCTTAAGATTAATGAATAAAGAAGTGTACTAGACTGATATCTATTGATGCATCACATTATCTCAGATCGCAAAGGTTCTGTGGATATAGTCTGAGATTAAGACTCGAAGGAATTACTACCTTGTCACCCACCTAAGCTTTAAATCACATTGGGACATCGTTTGCTTAGTCCGGCGTTTAACCGGGTTGGTGGTGGGCACGGAGAGTCTACCTAGGGTAGTTGGAAAACCCAGATTCCAAAGCAATCGTGCACATGAGCTCCAGCACCCCGAGGGAACAAATGGCGTATGAACCGATCGTTGGCCACCGGCTACCATGGGAATGCATCTCCTTACGTTGCTCCACTGCCTTGTGGTTCAGACCTTGAGGTCAAAGGCTCTGAGTGTGGCCCCCTAAGAAAACCACCTGCTTCGGTTTGGGCACCCGTGCAGTATCCCAGCCCTCACACATATCAAATGAGATTTGTGTGGCGCATATGTATTTGGTGCCTTCTTGTACCAATATCTATGTGTTCAAAAAAGTAAATAAATACTTAGTTTTACACCTTAAATTATGACACTTGCATTGGCGGTGAAACCATAATTTATGGACGACTTTTGAGCGACGCTAAATTGACTTTGAGGATGTCCACTGGCTAACCAGGGCTAACTGAGTTTTATAAACCAGTGTGATGAATTAGAATTATGATTTACAGTTAGTGGTTAGAGTTAGGAATTAGATTTGTGGTTTTCATCACAAATTGATATCAGCTAAAATGCCAAAACACTATATGATCAAATGGATTGTCGAATTCCGCGTTGTCTTATATATTGCTTCGTCCATAAATTATAGTTTCACCACATTAGCTGTACAAGTTTACTACGCTGGTTTCTAGTGCTGGTTATTGTTAGCGATATGTGCGCAATACTGTTAATGTAACAATACTGATTAAAATATGCTCATCTCTATTAACATAGCCGTAATGAATTGTAAAATCAGTTTTATTTAGTCCCTTTTTGTTTTTTTCCAGCCACTGCTTATTCTGGTTCTGAAGCTTTCTCTAAACATACCATCTATATGAAGTCAGATGAAAGATGTCTTATTTTTAAACACTTCCCACCTGAAATATCTGAAGATGAATGTGTAACTTTTTTAAAATCTCTGGGGGCAACCACGGCTCAATATTTTGGATGTTCCGGTTCTCTCAAACATGTAATGTATTCCCTTTATCTGTTTCATTCTAATTCAGACTTAGTGCGCTTATGCGGAGTTCGCATCTGAACAACATGCATGGAATATCATTAAAAATCTTCACCAAAAGAAAATATTGGATCGACGTCTTTCAGTTGAATTCATCCAGTCTGTAGAAGGGTAAGGATGACATTCCCTAAATCTTCTTTAGATTATCTTCAGTTAATATCCAAAAGACTAATCCAGACGAATCCAAAGAAGAATGTCTTCCCGTAACTACGAATGCTTTTTCTGCTATGTGGGATACATCTTTTGAAGCTTCCTCACGAATGTACTATGAATATCCTGTTGCATCCATTGACGTACTGACAAACATTGTGCGATCGTTGGCTTCTTGCCCAGCATTTTATAATCAGGTAGGCAATAGTGAAGACAGTTTTATGTGTTTTTTGGTCAGGATTCTTGAATGCATTTACACAACAGTTTAAAGTTTTGCAAAACCCTTAAGTTTAAAGACATGCTCTAACCAATGCACATCGTTGTGGTTTCTTTATAATAGTGCAGTAGAATTGCTTTGTAGTACATAACCTCCGATATTGACTCTATTTGGACGGTTTTACTGACATACGTGTAATATCACATATTAGTTAAACGTTAAACTATCACATACTCGAGAATACGAATAAGTCAGTTGTAATCAATGCACTTTATTTATTTATTTTAACACATAGATATTGGTACAAGAAGGCACCAAATACATATGCGCCACACAAATCTCATTTGATATGTGTGAGGGGTGGGATACTGCACGGGCGCCCAAACCGAAGCAGGTAGTTTTCTTGGGGGGCCACACCCAGAGCCTTTGACCTCAAGGTCTGAACCACAAGGCAGTGGAGCAACGTAAGGAGATGCATTCCCATGGTAGCCGGTGGCCAACGACTGGTTCATACGCCATTTGTTAAAGCGCCGGAGCACATTAATTTATGTTGGAACCTTGATTATACATGCGATGCACAGAAATCATCGACTGTTGTTAAGATGTTTCTAGAAGGAAACATTTCTTTTCACCAATGAATAGCTGTTTTGTCCAGAAAACTAATTAAAATTATCTGACAGTTACTCATCACTATTCGCATTAAGCAACCTGCGGTAATATTTACACGTTTTTCTACAGGTACTCCACATAATGAACAAACTACATTTACCACCACCATTTGAAGATCCGGAACAATTCCCTGGGGATTATCTTGTCATTTCTGCTTCAGATTATGCGAAAATGCAAACACTAATAGATAATATCCAGCGCTTGCCAAAAGAGGAAAATTATGATTCAGGTTCAGTTTCAGAAGAAATGGATTTATCTAGTGGACCAGAGTCTGAACTTGCTTCTGGTAAAGTTTTGATTTTTTTATGTTTCCTTCAGACGATGAAAAAAAAGCAACTACTTGTGCACAAAAAAGCATCTCAGTGAGAAGACGTTTCAAAGTCCGCAAAAAACCCCCTACTGTATTACTCAGTCGTCTTCCTAAGACTTCCAAACGTAAAAATGTTGATGTTGCTGATTTATTCGAATCACATCAAGCTGCTAAAAAGTTAAACTTGCCAAAGATTCTTAACGTCAATTCTCAGCGTGATCATAGTAATTCACTTGATGAATCTGAAGGTGGATTCGGACTTATCCATACGGAGACTAAAGTAGAGAGACGGCATTTTCTTGACGGATCAACTCAGAATTCTCAAGAAAACCATGCATCAATCTTCTCCAATTTTCAGCTCCGTAAAGGTAAGGAGGATTTTATGAAGTCTTGTCATGATATTAGCTAGGTAAATCCGAGAGTTTGATGTATAATATATACACTTACTTTAGTCTCAGATGTTCGTTATGCAATGTGGAATGACTAGATCCTCAAATGTGAGGCAGGACAAGATTATGTTCTGCATTACTTATGTGTAACCAATACAAAACCGTATTGAGCATAGGGTTACGCAAGTTAGATAAAAATGATTTGAAATACGTGATATATTTAAACAGAATTTATCCCTTGGATCGTATGGACGATTTGTTTACATACATTTTCCTATCCTGCTTATCATTTTTCTTCGCAGAACAATTTTCTGATGAAGAACATGAGAACTTTGGAGATTTAATCCCACTACCATCACAACCACCTTTGAGTAGTGAAAATATGACAAATGTTACTGATAATAACCCGTCTAATATCATAACAGTACTGTCCCTTGATGAAATTATATCCAATCGCCTAAAAGATGAGGATCGCAAGAATTATCCAGTATTTGCTAAATATGATACTGGAACTACCACCTCTCGTCTGTATGTCAAAAATTTATCTCAAATGGTTACAGAAGCCGATTTGTTTGCAATATTCGGGGTATTTTCAAACGGACCTGTGACTGACAGTAGTTGCAAACCAAGGGTTTCGTTGGACTCAACTGAATGTTTTTCAATAAGGCTTTTGACGGAAGGTCGAATGAAAGGTGAGTACAAGACGATGTTAAGCTCTATTTTACTTTCTAACCCCATTTCGTGTTGTATTGAATTCTTTTATAAGTTAGTCGTATACTCTATAGTTTTTATTTGGTTGTAACAAATAATATCAAAAGGAGTCGATCTGATTCAGTAAATGTTCTTCAATATAATAATCACATGTTTGATGTAAGAAATCCAATTGTTGTTATCGTCAGACTTCTGATGTATAAGAGTCGCGAATAACAACATACCTGCATTTATTACTAGCAATTCTAAAAAAAAATCAGTACACCACACTATCTTTCTCATTCTATTTCATAGTATAGGCTTAAAATCTACTGTTTTTCTCAGGTCAGGCATTCATCGGCCTTGCATGTGAATCAACTGCCAAACAAGCGTTGGAAGCCACAAATGGTTATATGCTATATGATCGTCCGATGGTTGTTCAATTTGCTAGAGGTGCTAAAGCAAAACCAGATGAAAAAAGTTTATTATTATCGAATTAATGCTTTTGATAATTCATATCTTCAGGAGGATTCACATCCAAAGTTTGGAGCTCACCTATGACCATTTTGTCGGAAACCAAATAATTGTATATGTTCTATGTACAAATTGTAAATATAAAAACTAATGGCACATTGCATTGTAACAGTTTTATGATCTATCACAAATACAGCGATTTCAGTGAATCTGATAAACAATATAGTTCGTGAGCAACGAAAGTATTAAGAAGCATCCATTTCCATTCCTTACTATTGAGAGACATTTCCATTCTTGTAACTACTATGAAAGTGTTTTGAGTTGACAAATAATCAATTTCAACCATGTTCATAGACGTCCATCAGTTTGTCGAAGTATGATAATCCTATGGTAATGTCTTTAACACCTCTAGTAATTTTAGGACGTAAAGGAGGTAGTTTACATTATTACACTACATCATTACATTTACAAATCAAAAATTTATGTACTCAGCTTTTACCTACCCTTTCTATGTGAATTCTCAACTGTAAAGACTAAATGTCCGCTGCAGTTTCCAGTCTACTCACAGACAATATTCGATTTTGAATGTGTAGTAAGTGTGCAAATTTCATATATCATTACCATAATTATAGATGAAGAAAATTAAAATGTAAAAGTATATTTAGTTACATGTTAAATACGTAAGATAAGGAAGTATGAAAATAAAAAGAAAAAAACACATTCTGTTTGATATGTAAATATGAAGGAGTCCTTGTTCACAACAATGGTGGATATTACAGTTAAAATATGAAAAGCTTTAGCTAGAGTGAATTTGAGTTTGTCTAAAAAAAAGACTACGCACAATATTCGCTGTGTTACAAGAGTATGCATTAGTTTTATTGCCAGATGATGATGGCTGAACTCGAACAATTTTACGGTTTGCTTCTGCCAATCTGAACAATTCATGGCTTCGTCGAACATGAGGAGGTTGAAATGAGTCGGAAGCCAAACGACGTCGTCGTGATAAGTTTATAACAGTTTGTCTTACAAAACTACTAAGACAACGCTGGCTTAATACAGATCCATTCTGTAATGGACCAGCTTCAAATGTTCGTCCTTGAAGACGCATAATGCCAACTCTGCATAATCCGGAACTTAAAGGATGAATATAAATTGTGACAGGGCAGTCAAAATTCTTGCTCGTCATATTCTGGATGCTCGTTCCAACTCCTGGCTCATAATGCATAGGTCCATCTTCCCATCGTTCGAGCCATACAACTGCCACTCGACCTCCAGTCGGGTCCGCCCCAACTTCTCCCATGCCTAGTGCACTTTGACTTGTCCCACGAGTGATGTTAGCTGGTGTGATAATTAAACAAAATATAATATTATTATAAAGGATGGGGGATTTTAATCAGTATCAAGGTTTTTTCCAGAAATAGAAATTACTTATCGAGTATGCATATGTATTATTCACATTAAGTTAAATTATTAAAATATCTAATCTATACAGTCTTTCAAAACCACCAAACAGTTTCTTATGTGACGTTTTTTTTTACCAAACACGATCTTACAAACACTAAACATCTAAAAAAACTCAGATTAACATCAAGTAAACTTGTAAAGGAAGTTCTTATTGTTTGTCAACTAAAATATATTTACTAGAGAACCTTGATCCATTTAGTGTTTGCTTTAATTGGATTGAATACTCTTTTGAAAACAGTTTACCATACAGCTACACCGTCCTCTTATCATTTTTCTGCATGAAGTAATCTAGTCATGTGTAATATACTCCATATGGTCACTTTAATTAGTATTCATCAGAAGTAATTAGTTTCCCTTGATGGAACTGTTTACTTTTAAACTTGATGAAATCTACCACCTTGTAAGCTATTGGTCACCTTCAGAGATAGATAAATTTCCAATATGCATACAACACAAACCTATTTAATAGCAATCGTCTTTAGCGTTTTAAACTATCGAATTTCCCAAAAGTAATAGTGATGAGCCCATTGTGTTAGCTACCTCAAGAGATAAATCAGGTTCAAACGTAAATTATATATCTACAAAGTCGAGTGCATTTCGTGTATGCTTCAGGAAGTACCGTCCGATTAATGAAATATCCTATTTTATTCGTACTGTTTGTACTAAACCAATCACAATTATTTTAATTTTAAACTTACTTATGATTTCGCTAGCAGTGCGATAACGTGTACTCTTTAACGAACGGTTTGGGTCAGAATTCTCTTCATTTCCATAAAATTGATTAGTGGGACAAATGCATGCTAATTCTGTTATTGCATCAGCATAGTATATAATTGATTGAATACCATCTGGACAGTGGTCAGCATGTATATTTTTCGTCTGATTACAGTGACCCGTCACAAAGTATCCATTTGATGTACGATAGCTAGTTTGAAGGTTCCCTGTCCAACCTGAATGATCAGAAATATCTTTGATACAGCCGATACCACTTAAGAACTGATGAAATGCTTCAGGTAGTCTTGACCAAATCTTCTGTTTAGCAAATAAAAAAATTACGTACATGAACAGAACTAGGTAGGTGGAAATCCAGGATTAATGATCAAACGTAATAAAAAATTATTCACAAATCAAAATTACTGAAAAACTGTTTAAACATTTATGGAATGTAAAATATACTTTCGTGGAGTAAGTTATGTAGAAGTCATATATGTACAAGATTCAAAATTAAATGATGAACAAATGCCAATACTGTGTAATTACATTGCTGTTATCAGACCAGAAGCTTAATCAGAGCATGCTACACTGGAGCAAGCTGATCGGATCACTTTCATCCAATCAGCGCTAAGGGATAAGGTGAGAGAATTCTCAAATATTCTTGTGTAAAGTTTGTAAATACAACCACATTCTATTACTTTGTTTTGTTCGGAATGTAATCTACGTCCCTGTCCAAGTCTTGTTTTAGTTTGACAACTGGTTGAGTGAACGGAAGTGTCCAAGAATACTAGGCTGAATAAGGAGACTTAGCAATGACAATAACATTTATTTGATTAAATCAAAAACTTGGTATATTATCTAGTAAATGTGATAATTATTATATAAATTTAATAGGACATTTATTTTTCAGAAATTATTTTGTTTGACTTGGAGACTTATATCCTCTCATATAAATATAGGCTTTCCTTTAGCCATTAGCTCGGGTTTGTTCTCATTTGAAAACCCGACAATCAGGAATAACTGCAACAACGATTTTAAATCGAGCGATAACATGTTTGTGAATAATTTAATTAAATATTTCGACAAAAGATATTATCGTTTATCTTAAGCATTTGAATGATACGTATTAGTTCCATTTCTGATTAAAAATAATTCATATAAAATTAAGTGTGTAGTGGGGACAATCGGATTGTATTTAGCACAAAATTACAGAGTTACTTGGTAAAATAGAAAAACCATATAGTAAATCGTTAATTTGCAAAATGTTAATCCATCATATCAACCTGGACTGTTCCTGTTGCAAACACCAATCCATTGTCTCACATTTCATTGTTCATGCGTTTTCTTACAAATTGTATTGTGTTCTCGCTCTTCCTTTCTTGATCTTCCCCCATCTTCTGCTGCCATACATTAAGTTTTTAACTTGCGTCACATACTACTTATATCAATATAAGTGGACTGGGAAGTGTGTTGAAGAAACTGGCTTTGATATCTCAATACTTGTTTTAAAGCTATTAGTAATTATTAGAAATGTCATTTAATCCACCTTTAATCATTAATATGCTTTTAGTAAATCTTCACTTTCTTGAATCCTTATGGGACAACAATCTATTATAATCTGATTATTTTCTATTGCATTCCTATCGGTTTACCTTAACCAATTTACCATTATCTTAGTGCGTCATATTATTTTTTTTGTTTTTTCAAAATTTCCACATCAAATATTCACATGACAATCTTTGGAGTAAGGTTTGTTGAAGCAGTATAAGTTATTTTGGTAGAGATCTTATATTTTCTCTCTACGTCGAAGTGTGAAAGTCGTAATTTTCAGTACAAACATCAATGTAGTTCTGTTGTACGGAGCTGAAACGTGGAGAACTACTACAACCATCATCAAAAGAGTACAGCCATCTATAAACAGTTGCCTTCGCCAGGTACCTACTGTTGCAGAGAACAAACCAGGAAGTTAAGAAAAGACTCTAGATCGATAGGGTACATATTGTGAGAATTATCAAACTGGGTCACGAGGTAAACTTTCAGTCAGTCAGCTACAACGTAGGACCAGGCACATATTTGCATCGGTCCAAATCGCCATACTGTTATGACTTGTGACTGTAGATTAGATGCGCAGGGTACTATCGATCGGATCAATGACACGTAAGAACGACCTAGACTCCTGATTGGCCCTGCTTCCCTGTCTAGCCCAGTCAGTTGAGTCCAGAACGCAAGAATCAGCCTCTGAGATATGAATCGTTATATTTCAAACATACTCTGTTTATATACCAATCAAGCAGACCACATCGTACCATAAAATAGAAACAACACTTGTACAATATTTGACAAGTGAAACAAAAATTGGCCAATAGGAAATGTCCATTTAAAGTCCAAGGACACCATTAGACTTAACAGGATAATTATTGGTATATTTTTCTGAATATCCCAATACATACCTCATTAGCACAACAAGATGAACACCGGATTCATAGGAGTGGTTAAGTAAATGGTGGTAATATATAAAAGAAAGATTGCATATAAGGATATAGTACAAGAAGAGAGAATTAGTTCGTAGAAAGAAAGGTGTGAAGTGATTTTAATCTCTTAGTTTAAGGGAAAACAGAGTGTACACACCCACGCCATTGTGACTGATTCTGAGCCATGTCACCAAGAGTCTTCAACCATTGGTTACGATAATCACGCGGACCCCAACCAAGTAGTCTGCATCTACCAACATGGCTCAGACTAGAAGTTGATGTCTCCAAGCACTGATGCCACGTTTCGGTTTGGCCGCCCCTAACTTTCTTCCAACCATCCCCAACACCGGTTAGCATTGCACGTCGTGGTAATCGGTGTTCAGGCATACGTAGACCAGAGAACACATTGTGCTGGGAATAGGAGGCGGATATTGGAAGGATGAATAACACTTGACAATAACTAGGAAGCAGAGCCCAGGAGAGTTGATTCGAGATTGCCGGTCAACAGTCTATGCTCAACAAGGGATAACAAACGTAATAAGTATGCAATATCGAGTTGTTAGGTGTAGTTAATTAAACTTACTCTCAATGTCCATACAGAATAGTTCACGAACATTTGCATCATGTCATCTGGAAAATGAATTTAACAGAAACCAATTATGCACATCTTCAACTCGTAGAACACTAAACCGAAACGTTTTGCGTTCTCGACGTAATGGAAAATACGAATAAAGTTCAACAGTTCCCACTGAAAAATGGCGACACACGGTAAACTGTTTAAATGAAAGTATGGGTTGAATCTTAGGTATTTAAAAATCCCAATGTCATATATTCTATTAGGTGAATAAATGGAGACAATTGATTATTATGTAAACATTATCATTTTCCAATGTTGAAGGCTCATTATCAGTATTTCTCGATCAAGTGATACTACTAAATGTTCGGAGTTATTTTGTGAAAAAAAATCAGAACTAAATCTCGAAGCTTGGTTTCTCGTTGAATAAGAAGTTAAATTTTATTAAATTTTCAGTTAAGTAAAGTTATTTTGATAAACAGAAATAAAAAAGCAGAAATCTTACCATATTCGCAAGAATATCACCAACTTTTGACTGACCAGCAGCAACATAAAAAACCAAAAGCGTATCACCTGTTCTGGTCGGCATATGGTCTAGATTTGTTAATATATCAGCAAAATCTGGATTTTCCACATCGAATGGAAATAAGGGCAATAGTTCGTCTTCAGTACTATTCGACGGCAAAGTAGACGAAAGCCCCTGTATGATACGATTAGCTGTTAAAGATGGACTTTGTCGATTCCCAAGACCAAGACGTTCACCTGATTGGTTATCACGTTTTAACTCTGGACGTGGCCATAATGACTGGGGCATTTGAGAAGGTCCGATTGATAAATAGCCCAAATGTGTTAGTAATAAACGTATTGGGTGAAAACTAACAACGGGACTGAGAAAGGCAAAAATGAAAACAATTGTCACTTACTAAAACATGTTCTCGAAAATGTATTGATTGCTAAAGTGCACTTATACCGCCACTGGGGCAAATTCATTCAGAGTTCATAAAACAGTGCTGTATTATGAACAATTAACTACTACATAATATATTTTGAAAAAATTATCCTGAAAATTTGTTAACACATAACTAGAAAGGAAAGTTTCCATCCTAAAAAGTGAATAACTTTGATATTTTCAAACAAACTGAGCATTGGGTAAAGTGTTAATAATAAAATGATGACATATTCGTGGTTTCTCAACGAGTAAGAATCTGAATTTCTGATGTTTCGTGACTTAGTGTAAGCCACTTCAGAGTAAATAAATGACCGTATTAAATTAAGATCAAACAGACTACTTAGGTTTGTGTTAAGTTTTATACAGTTACTTATTTAATCAGAAGAGGCCACAGAGCCTCAAAACATTAGAAACCCAAATTCTTACTGACTGAGATATTATAGTGGCCGTATATATGACTTCAGTTAAATCGCATGATGATTGTTATAGAAATATACATACCACCAACCTTCGTAAATTTTTATTGACTTAATTTGTGCTGGAGAACAACAGAATAAAATAAGCCAAATACGGGAATGGATTTTGAATACCTATATTTCATACTAATTGATTTGGTGAGTAAAGCCGCTTGCGGCTTCGCGAAACGTCCCGCTTATAAGCACTGGGTTTCTTCAGGTTCATTACAACTAATTGAAGCCCGTCGGTCTATTCCAAGTAACCGTGAGTTTGACCACAAACGACGACTGTTACATAATGAAATTGAGCAAAAATTGCGTAAGGACCGAGAAGCCTGGTGGTTGGAGCGTACTAATGAGCTGGAAGCAGCAGCTGCATCTGGTAACTACCGGAAGCTCTTCCAACTCATCCAAGCCACTGGCAGCAAGAAGTCTGGTGTGAGCGGAACAATCTACGAGGATGATGGGATGCCAATCACTAACATCCATCGACGTCTTGGACGATGGGCAGAATTTTTCGAAGGGCAGTTCAACTGGCCTGCTGCTCCGGCAACATAGATCAAACTGTCCTGCCCTCCATGTTTGGTGACGACTGATCCACCAAACGAGGAGGAAGTCCGCAAGGAACTCCAACTCTTGAAGCGTTACAAATCACCTGGCCCAGATGACTTACCTCTGGCTCTTTTTAAAGATGGTGGTGACTTTTTGACTAAGGAATTGACGACGTTGTTTACAAAGGTTTGGGAACTAGAGAGTGTACTAACGTCATGGAATGAGTCGACAGTTGTCCCTATCTTTAAAAAGGGTTCATGTCGTTCCTGTCACAACTATCGAGTGACAAGTCTACTTGCGATTGCGTCCAAGCTATTGGCTTCCGTCATACTTCGTAGGTTGTTCAAAACCCGAGAAAGATTGACTCGCGAGGAGCACGCTGGGTTTCGTTCTGGTCGAGGATGTATTGATTATATCTTCACCCTCCGCCAAATTTTAGAACACCGCCATACTTATCAAAGGCCAACAATCGTAGTGTTTCTTGACATCAGGGCTGCTTTCGATTCGTTGGACAGGACTGTTCTCTGGGATTGTCTATTGAGGAAGGGTGTGCCTGAGAAGTTTATTAACATCTTAAAGGCCCTATATGTAAACATTTCAGGTGGAGTGAAGGCATACAACCACCTCTCTTCATTGTTCGATTCAAGCAGTGGGGTTAGACAGAGTTGCCCAATCTCACCATTCTTCTTCAACTTTGTCATCGATGACACTCTGGAAACAGCTTTGATGGATGCAATTAATGGCGGTGTGCATCTGTTGCCAGGAGAAAGACATCCCGACCTTAAGTATGCAGATGATATTGTCTTACTGTGCGATAATGCCCAAGCCATGCAATCCGCACTTAGTCAGTTGGCAATCAATGTCCGTAGGTAGGGTATGTGCTTTGCACCTTCGAAGTGCAAAGTACTTCTACAAGACTGGCAGGATTCTAATCCTGTACTCACTCTGGATGGTGAGTAGATAGAAGTAGTCGAGAAGTTGGTGCATCTATCTAGGTTGCTGCATAAGTGGTGGCGTGAGTGATGAGACCAATGCACGTACAATGAAAGCCAAAGCGGCTTATGCCGATCTGGACCATCTTTGGCGCCTTCGTGATGTTAGTCTGGCTGTAAAAGGTCGGATCTACAACGCGTTGGTGAAAGCAGTTTTGCTCTATGCTTGTGAAACCTGGCCTCTCCGAGTTGAGGACGTTAGAAGACTCTCTGTGTTCGATCATCGTTGTCTCCGAAGGATTGCTGACATCCAATGGCAACACCATGCTAGTAATGCAGAGGCTCGGCATCGTGTGTTCGGGCACAGAGATGATAATTCAATTGGTGTTACCATCTTGAAACACCGACATCGGTAGCTTAGACATGTTCTACGAATGTCGTCCCAGAGAATTCCATGTCGTGCATTATTTGCCGACTCTGAGACTGGTTGGAAAAAGCGGAGAGGTGGTCAGTGCATGACATGGTGTCGTGGGATGGAAGAAAGCTGCAAAGGACTGGCCTGTGTTGGTCCTTCACGACTCCCTGGTTGGGGTCCGAGAGATGGTGCTACACAGTGGCTAGAGATGTTATCAGATATGGCTCAGAATAGAAGCCAGTGGCGATCCTGATGTTTCTTCCTTAACTGAAAATTTTTTTCTTCCGATTGTACCTTTCCGTTTCCTCCATTATTACTTTTATTATTGTTATTATTATTATTACTACACTACCTTACACTAATCTGTTTGTTATCGTTTTTTTTTTCTTTTCGAATTCTCATTGTTTTGTGAAGCACATATATATTTGGTGCCCTGTTGTACCAATATTTATGTGTTCAAACAAAAAATTGATTTGAAGAGACAATCAGAGAAACAGAGTGGCGCGCAGTGGAGATGGCGAGTGAGCCGACTCGTTTTGATCAAGCTTGACTCAATATTTATATTCAGACCAAAAATAAGTTGCAAACACATAATGAATAGGGTGAGCAATTAACACACATGCGATCATATAAAAACAGAAATAATAAGTAATCAGGTCAAAATGTGGCTTGAGAAGAATGAATAAATTGGTCTGTCGTCCAGATGCTAGAACAGCCTGTGTGAGCTTGACACAGTACCAGCCACTAAAATATCACGAATATACCATTATTTTATTACTAAAACTTAAAATGTTCATTCAGTAGATAAAATGCCTTTCTCTTTAAAAAAAAGTAGCAACTTTCGAAGCCATATCTACAAGACAGACTTTACCTTCAGGAAGAAAATGTTGTAAAGACTACTCATTACTCGGTAGATTACCTGCTCTCTTAAAAGTAATTAGTACAGCAATATTATTGTTCTAGTGTTAAAAAGCGAAATCAGAATACAAACTACGTAGTATACAGTCATAATATGTATTCTTCTAAAACTATCTTCCAGTCTAAATACAAGTTTTATTCTGATGGATGTACGCTGAAGTTCACTACAAACATTTTACTGATACACTGGTTACCATTATTAATGAAAACTCCCTATTTAACTAACTATATGAATGAACATCTCGCTGAAATACCTACTATATAATAACACCATTGAGGAATACTATTTGCCGCACGGTTATTTTTGTATTTTTTATCCCGTTTCGTCCAACAAAATGATCAGCTTTAAAATGGTAAATATTAATTACTGATTCCTGAAAAGTAATACAAAACGTAAATATCCCTTGACTGATAACTTTTTCTTCGAAATATGAACGTAAATAAATTACAAAGTACTAGCTGTATTGCTTCGAACGTTGTCATGGACACCGATAATGTGTTCTTGAGTATGTTGTATCTGCTAGCGTTCCAATCGCAACAATGTTCCTGAACACATGAGCACGAATTTTTAAAAACAAGTTAACCACTCACTTAATTTTAAGTGTTTTTAATCACACCCAGGAAATTCCCATAACTAGGGATCAGGAATCACAATAACCGTGCAAAAAATGTCAGCCACTGTTGAGAGTACAAATGTATAGAAAAACACTGATAAATTGAGCTCATTTCATGTTACTCTATTCATCAAAATAAGATTAAAGCAAGACACAAAAAATCAAACTTACACTGGTGCTTTTGCTTCTGTGATTGGATCAGGATAAGGTGCATTAATTTTCTCTTGGACACAACGTAATCCAACTTCCTTTGCTAATGAAGCATGTGTGGTTATTAATGTCTTGAATACATTAATTTCTTGTCTAACATTACTTCCAAGTTCACCACCAACTTTATCCAGCGAAGGTATTATACGATCACTAATTTTGATATGATAAAGAATTAGGTATATATATAATGCACAAAATACAGTACTAAGCAGATTTAGGGCACAAATAAGAAACTGAATTACAACTCAATGTGTATCATTAAAAATATAAAGTACAACTACAGAAAAGTGGTGGATCTTTATCAATTACTGATCAGCGCCAAAAAACTAGAAAACATGACATTAATAACTGCTTAGAGACCAATAACTTGGAAACGTCTCAATCCAATGGAAAGTCATTTGCAGCAAGATCAGCTCAGTGACAACGTTTCAAACTGTGAGTGTGAATGAAGTGGATTCAAACCCACCGGAAGGGATCAGTTTCCTCAAGACTGGGGAGTATATCTAGCCTCCAAATGCGAACCTAAGTAATAACAATTAATCAAGAAACATATTGCTTACGCTTCAACAAGTGGAATATCGGATATTGATTGTGGAAAATTTAAAGCAGGAACATTTTCATTGTTGGTTACTGTGGTGATAAGTCTGTCAAGAAAACAACCCCAAGGTTTAGGACGATCAATTACTACTTCTTGTTTTTGATCCGAATAATTTGACTGAGAATTTGAGTCGTTTCCCAACAATGGTGAAAGACGCATATGCGTTATCCAAACATGACGTCCAAATGGTCCTCGAATAATTAAAATTGCAGCTGGTCCATCTTTTGAACTATCAATTTTTGGTTTTATGGTTGATTTAAACGAGTTCGTAGGAAATTCGCACAATCCAATTATTAAATTGGGTTCAGACCAGAAATAGTGAAATTCTGACCGACCCTTAGATGAATTCGATTCTTCATCTATAATCAATTTCAAAATGTTATCTTCTGCTAACTGAGAACATGTTGTATCTGTCCCGAATGGTCCAGGAAAAGATCCAGCTACTGACATTAAATTTGACAGACAAGCCTCAGCTGCATCACAAACACGTTTTGAGGATGGAACTAAAGGTTTTTGACCTTTGAGAATAGTAGTGGGGGGCTCATTTTTTGCCTGTTTATTCTGATTTAGATGAAAAACAGAGAACGTAGTTTAATATAAGGAACTCAGAAACAGAAGTTTGCAGAGAAAAAAAATACTATGTAAAACTAACACTTATCGTAACATTTACCGCTCAATAATCAATGAATAATGGATCAAAATTAAGACATTTCGCTACTTTATATTTTTTTATTTCATATGATTTAACTAACTTATATTAATACATAGACGCTTTTCCCGCAAACACAAACTAAAATATTATTAGAATGCTATCAGCTATCACATGTAAGTAAATTTGAAAAAAAAATTCATCATGTGATGGTAACATATGAAGGGAATTCTTTCAAAAGATTATTGTTCACTGTATTATGCATAAATAGTAGTTATTTGGATTATCAATCATTAAGTAAATATTATAAATAAATAGTATATTTATAATATCCCAATGAGTAGAAAAGTTAGATTTTCTGACGTTTCGCGGCTTAGTGTAAGTCACTTCTTCAGAGAATAAATAACCAAATTAAAATTAGTCCAAGTTTAAATAGTACAATTTAAATTGTACTATTTGGTTATTTATTCTCTGAAGAAGTGACTTATACTAAGCTGCGAAACGTCAGAAAATCTAATTTTTCTACTCATTGGAATATTACAAATATACTATTTATTTATAGCAATCTACCCAATGCTCAATTTATTCGAAATTATCAAATCAAACCTTGGTAATGTTACCTATTAAGTAAATACTGTTTAATAATAAGTTTATTCATTAAAAGTCTAATATAGAAAAAAATTAGCTTATCTACAGTTCGGAGGTGATTTTCATTGGGAAATGATATCAATTGAGAAATTACTAGATAGCATCAAATGGTTGGTTTGACCTAATTCCGGTTCTTCAGCAGTAATTATTATTATGATATTGATTTAAGGTACACAATCAACTCATATTTCAAATATAATCCATAAATAGTTGAATAGGTCTAAAGAAAACCAAATAAATTATTTTACCGTCGATATTTAGTTGATGAATATACTATGGTTTCGTTAGTATTTTGTTTACTATACTAAGATGGTTCACAGACAATCAGTATATTATAAAACTTTATTAAATAGCTTCTAAGCTTTATCGATTAAGTGTTCGAACGCACGACCCAGTAACTCAAAGTCTAATACTTTAATCACTGAACTATTCCTCTCCACTAAGACAAAAATGTTAAGAGTATTGTTATATAGAATTATTTAGCTCTGAACGGATCATTATTATAAGATTAGCATCAAAGATTCGCCCCCAAATCCCCTGGTATGGTCGAGGGTGGCGTGGGTCCACCCCCCTCTCGAAATACTCTCACACGGCCACGCGTATACAGCCTCTGCCAGGGAAGTCCTACTCACTGCCTTCTCGTGGCGGGGGTGTTGTTTACGAAAGTGAGAGGACGAAAAGCGAATGTCTGGCGCTTTAACCGGATTCCAAACCAATGGTGCACATGGGCTCCAGTATCCTGCGGGAACAAATGGCGTATGAACCAATCGTTGGTCACCGGCTACCATGAGACTGCATCTCCTCACGATGCTCGACTGCCTTGTGGGTCGGACCTTTAGGTCAAAGGCTCGGAGTGTGGCCCCCTAAGAAAACCATCTGCTTCGGTCTGGGCACCCGGGCAGTATCACAGCCCACACACACAAATATGGTGTGGCGCATATCTATTTGGTGCCCTCTTGTACCAATATTTATGTGTTGAAATAAAATAAATAATAGTAAATTCGACAAAACTTAAAATACAACATGTAACAACCAATAACATACTGAAGATTTAGCACCACAAATGCCCAATTCAATTGTTTCTAATATAGTCCATACACATTCTCGATCAGATAATAATAAATTCACATGTTGTACAATCCATGAAGATAAACAATAATACGCAGCAACAATAATACTATGTAGCTGCCTTTTATGGTCTTTCTTTTCACGGTTACATTGATTTGTAATAAATTCACATATTGATCGGACGGTATGTCTATCTAAAAAAGATAGGAGGTGAAACAAAACGAAAAAAGATCTAAAACATAACTGTCTTTTTCTTCAATTAAAAATGAAGTTACTCAATAATCAACTGATAGGTTTACAAGTGTTTCATAGTAAGAAAAAGAAACTAGTAAAAAACTAAACTGTATATTCACTCATGCTGGAATTGATTGATATGTCGTGACATAAACGATAAGAATTGTTCTTGATCCGAAAATTCCAGAGTTGCATACATCAAGTCTGGGATCACTACAGCAAAAGACACTTATCCAATTATATAAGTGTTGACAGTTTTGTTTATTCTAAAATACTATTTTTACACTGATATAATTCTAGTTAAATTTGTCTTTTTCATTCAATATTGAGGACTTAAGGCAACAAGAAAAAGAAAGAAGTTGAAATAGGTTTTATCAAAACACAATTACACTTTCAAAATTAGTTTTTATAAATCCTTATCGTTTATTGACCTCATGTATTATTTAGTCAGATAGGGTATATTTCTCCCATTACACACTCATGATACTGGACACTTCCCGTACAACTTATCACCCTGTGAATTAAAAGGTTTGACGATAGTGTCTACCATTTTTTCGTAGTATAAACTAACTACGAATTTAATGCGAATTGTACGGTTAATTCAAGAACCGATATATTTTAAATGAAATCTTAGTTTTATTACACTCTCCTAGGGGAGTGGCTATAGGTGAGGATTACCGAAGTGTACGAAACTGGGACAAAAAAACAACGATTCGGTGCTCCATCGTTCTCGGTTATTCTTCAGTTGATGTCAGTTTGCCATACAAAATTAATTCAAATGAATTTTTGGTCTGAAACATGAAGATAACAATTTTTCAATTGACGGATAATAGTAAAAAATCTTATCAAATGAAACAAGTACTTACATGTAGATGGATCAACTGGTGCAACATGTACACTAGATAAACCAGAGATGATTTCTAATAAATAAAGCAAAACTGATGAATCATTTTTCCACTTATATACTAAATTACCACAAAGCAGTGGTGTCAGAATATTGAAGAAACTAGATGTTGTATCTAAAACGTAAGAAAGTTTGCATCTGAAGAGTATATATATATATATAACACTAGTGTATGAATATTACGAAGCACTTAAATATATTTAAGAAAATCAATATACGTGAATAGAAAAAGAATAAGCCAAACCAAACGAAAGTATGTTCTGTGGGGCTTTAACAACAAATCACATTAGTTAATCCAACGAATCAAATGACGAAAGAAACAAACAAACTTGCTGTCACATCACCTACGTGAAATATGTTGAACATGCACTAACTAGATCATGTATCGTTAATACCAAACAACCACACTCCACTATATCAAAAATGAGCTAAATGGGAAACGCTGCCATAGCCTAATAGATAACAAACTATCATATTAATCTATGAAGTCACTAATTGTTGGACTTGTGTCGCACAAGGAAGTGTTGACTTGTTGGACTACTTACGTGAAGAGACTAGATAAAATGACCTGTAATTAATCACTAATGGCGAAGATGCATTTACTATCTAACGTACCTACAAATTTTGATAATTTATCCTGAAATTTTTTCACAGTACAACAGTATTATTTCTGTTTATGATAATAATTTTATTTTTTTGATATTGAGAAGTGGGAGAATTGAAACCAAGATGTATTTTATTGTATGCACACAATGTTGCATTCGCCTATGTTACTGAAATTAAATGAACGTAATAAATGAATTTAAAAATTGTTATCATAAACGACAGTATCACTAGTGACATTCTGTCTGATCTGAAATATGAACGAAGTTCTCCGTCGAACACGAGTTAAACTTTCGAGGTGTTACACCTCCGAACAGACTGTCAAAATAACATTAATTCAAAATCACGGAATGAAACTTCCTGGACAAAATGAACAATTACGCGCTGGTGATATATATTATTAAAATAGTCTACAGATAACTGACACAATTTCATCAACAACATGACCCAACCACAAACACGAAGAGTAATTAAACAAGAACATCTGTTTAAAAACTGTTAGAAAAAGTAATATAAGCTTAAAAAGCCTTACGAGATTTGCCAGGGTCGGTTCGACTATTAGATGACTGCATCTCATCAGCTGACATATCTTCAATTAAAGCCAACGCCACACCTAATCGATAGTTAAAAATGAAAATTATTGCGATTTATGATTTGGTTTTGATATATATATATATATATATATATATATATATATATATATATATATATATATATATATAATGAAAATATAGAAACTACAGTGAGTGTTGGCAACAGCGTTCATAAAACTTAAAAATAGGTGAAACTGAATGATAATTTAAGTGCTGATAGAAGGGAGACATTTTAAAACAATACGGGCGTTTTTTAAGAGTCCAGTTATTACGCCGTTTAGTTGCTCTATTTTACGTTCTTTATGTAGTTTGAATATATCTTATGAATTAGATATTCTAACTATTTATATTGATTTTGTATTCCATTTCATGATTCTAATAAATAACAATGCAATATAACTAAATAGATTTAATCAAGTTATAGAGATATGAACAACTGGTGAAAGTAGCCGAACAAACAATTGATAATATGAAATAATAAAATATATTTTCTAGAAAAACAAAAGGCTAAACAATCATTAATAAGATGTCATTAGTGTATAATTGTCTTTATCCCATACTTAACTATATCGGGTAATAAACTCTTAGTAAAAGTAAGATATTTACATATGGAACCCGATGTGTAAAGAAGACCATCTACAGACATCTCCAAAAATTACTGAAATGCATGAACGTTCTTACAATAGATAGTAAACAATGATCGAATCAATCAATCATAGCCAACGTATGACCACTTGGCATGAATGTGCATCAGTTCTGGTGGCTATACACCAAATCAGTAAAAAGAGAGAAAGACTGACAAGATGGTGACCTGCTAAGAAATTTGGGACATTTATTTCTCAATCATCCCAATGTTTTAAAAAGTATTCTTGTTTTAAATCTCTTTTCACTGCAAATACTTATGAAAATCAACTGCATACATTCACGCGCTTTTATAGGAAGCTTACAACTTTAATTCTGTGCTCAATATTGGAAAATTCAGATGGAAACAACTCACTTCATGGCATATTTCCTTTTTACCCTTACCTCTGAAGAAACGAAAGGCGATTACATTGGAATTCATACGATGAATCAAGAAAATATTAATAACTTGGTTGATAGGATTCGATCTGCACTAAGAAGGACTTGACACACATGACATTAATCACCATCCAATGGTCAATCAGTTGTAAATGCAGGTCTAAGAGAAACTTGTTGTAATAGTGTATAATTGGTGCTGAGTATCCCCTATCGAAAAACTTTATAATATTGTATAAAGCACTTAATTGTCGGTATAGGGGTTTATGGAGCATGTGGAAAGTTATAATTTACATCACGGATAACCTTACTAAGATAACCTTTCAAAATCGAGAACTATTGGATAGCTATTTGGACCTAGTATGTGAATTATGAACAGAGGTAACCCAGGATCCTATCGGAAATCTAACCCTGAACTTTCAGTAGCTTAAAGGCTAAGAGCTCCTCACGGAACCGAAAGTTCCTAGCTCCAATCACCGATAGGATAGTGAATGAGCACTGCTACTGAGTCATACACTAAGACGAAATAATTGTAATGTAAACCATATTATTATTATCATCTCCAATAAAAAACTAAATATAAGACATACATTAAAAAGAAGCATTAATGACGACGTTGAAATCATATTTGAAATAACAAAAAGATAATACTCACTTAATAATAATTGAAAATTTACCGGATCTTCTGTACTACTCAACGTATCACATACAATATTAACCATCATATTTTTTATATCATTCAATGAACATGGATTATCCTCATTAGACATCAAAGGAATCAAAGCTTAAAGAAACAGCAATTAATAACAATAAAAAAGATGAATGAAGAAATTAATGAAAGAAAAATGGTATGATAATTAAACTTCTTGAAAAATAAGTTACAAAACAAGTATTATGATTAAAGGGTTGTAAATAAACCATATGATGAGAATATATTCAACGATGTAACAAAATGTATTTTAACAATTTCATACACAAATTTTTTCAATGTCCAATATTTATATGAGGATCTCTTATTAAAAGGTTATACACAACATGAAATGTGTGTTAATTTTGTTTTAGTTTTATTTAGTACAAAACAATCACCGGATAATAGATGAATATCATTATTTAGTATATGTGATTATTATTTTTGTTTTGCAGTAATCATAATATGGTGAGAAAAAAATGAAGAAGAATATTTTAAATGAACATTATGAATTTCTATATTAAATGTTTCTATGGAATGATTTAAATATTAAAAAGTGAGATATTTCTGATAAAAGATGATTGATGATTAGGCAATAAAACTCAATCAATTTGGTATGTGGTTAATAGTGGAATTCAGGATACGCTTATCAATTCATCGGCTTGATGTACTTGTATCGTTTACGTTAAAATTTAAACCTAGGAAACTTTTAGTTCAAATGACCAACACGGCATCCACTGAGCTACTGGGTCCAGATAGTTACTAACTTGTTTAATGAGTATGAAGGTTATTAATGAGAGTTTGTGAATTCCTGTTATTGATGTAAAAGACTTTAATTGATCAGTTTCTGTTGGCGTATGTGGACCTGATGCTGGCCACAAACGAAATATACGTGTGACACAACACAATATTAAAGCAATCCGCCCAGGATGCACATACAGCGACAGAGACTAAACAACTTCAGTTCTGAATATCAATAACGGAAAATTTCAAAATCCTTATTAATACTGAATAAAAAGCCAAATAAAATTATATACGGATAAGGTTACTCATGTAATTAATTAGAAATTTAAGTTTTATGATTTATAACTTCTTATAACTCATCAAATTACAGTATGAGTTATTCAGAAAGTTTATAGGTAAATACCTCAGTAAAAAAGCGAACACTGAAGTGATGACATATTAGTTAAGTCACCGGATACTCAATAACAATAAATAGTAAGGTTCAGACGACATATCATCTATTCTGTTTTGGATAGCTAGATAATATCCTTATCCCATGTATAAAGTGTACAGCTCAAAGCTAAGTTTGTTACAAATGAAAACATACTCGATAACTTATGAAGCACTGTAAATAAATGTGGTAAGACGCAGACAAATGTATCTGATTTTAGAACTAGTCAATTAATTGTGAGTGGACGTATTTACTAGACAGGACAATATTCTTTTGAATAGATTCTTCGGAATCAAGTAGTTATGGGTAGTGTTGAAGTTACTTAGTAAAGTTCAGATAATATTCTGTTAGCTCAACTATATTTCCAATTCATGATAATAAAAGGTTTACTAAATGTTCAATAATAGACCCGGCTACTGAGTGCTTCTTTTACCTACTTGATTCCCATTAAAAGTAGCAAATATAATTTGGATTTTGACGATTCCTATTAGTTTTCAGTTTAAACTACACATAGGTTTATAAATTCTGGCTAGAACACAAAACAATATTCGGAGGGAAAGATTGACTATATGAATGTAATTCAAAACACTATTAAGGGTGAAGCAGGAAGTATATGATTTCTAGTCATTTGAAAGCCAAGTCAAATAAACACAAAGGTGATATATTTTATTTTAATATATCAATGTGATTATATCTATCAATATGAAAGCATGAATCAATCAATTGGAACACTACATTGGAATAATCTAGGGGCAATAGTACTATTTCCCCTTCTGAACAGTGTGATTAAAACTAAATTGAATAGTACACCACAAAAAGTCGTAATCACTAGTTTGACAGAACCCTGCTAACATTTGTAGTGTGCGTGATCCAAGAAATAAGTGTTGCAACAAGTACGGTGAATGCTCGTCAATACAAGTAAATAGTCAAACAACGAAAGCAACGAAAGCAAAAGAGATGGAAAAGGCGGCGACTATAGGGAACACAAGACAACTTTACAGACTAATAAAAGAAACTGGAATTAACAAGTCAAGTGTAAGTGAGATTATATCGGAAAAAGACGACACTCTCATCTGCTCCCAGTCCAGACGTTTAGAACGATGGGCGGAACATTTCAGAGAACAGTTCAGCTGGCCTTCAGCGACTCTACAACTACCCTCCATTCCCAGACAGCGTGAATGGAACATTGAAGTAGGTCCCCCAACTCTTGCTGAAGTTCAAAAGGCTATAGATAATCTGAAACGAGGAAGGGCAGCTGGACCAGATGGACTGGTTCCAGAAGTCTTTAAAGATGGTGGTCCAATTTTAGCGATTAGGTTGACTAATATTTTAGCTAAGATCTGGGAGTTAGACGTTATTCCATCTGACTGGGCACAATCACTTATCGTCCCAATATATAAGAAAGGGTCAAAATCATCCTGTGACAACCACAGAGGGATTAGTTTAACTAATATAATATCTAAAATACTAGCCTCGATAATTATCAGACGCCTAACTAAGACTCGTGAACTGCAAACACGAGAAAACCAAGCTGGTTTCAGACCTGGTCGTGGCTGCATCGACCACATATTCACCATTCGTCAGGTTCTAGAACACAGGCACACTTATCGGCGTCCGACGATGGTGGTCTTTCTTGACTTAAAAGCAGCATTTGACTCGGTAGACCGCGAGGTTCTGTGGCAGTGCCTGTCATTGAAAGGCGTACCTCAGAAGTACATAAACCTTGTGAAGGCTCTTTACTCGAACACTACTAGTCGAGTGAGAGCTTATGGCGAACTGTCATCTACTTTTGCAACCTCAAGTGGTGTCCGTCAAGGATGTCCACTCTCCCCATTTTTGTTTAACTTCATCATAGACCTACTGATGGAAATAACTTTCTCGTCGACTGAGTTCTCGGGTATTGATCTCTTTCCAGGAGGTCCACTTATCGACTTAGAATACGCAGATGACATAGTCCTGTTTGGTGAAGACGCTGACAAAATGCAAAGTCTTCTGGTAGCACTGAGCAACAATGCCAGAATGTTTGGAATGCGCTTCTCTCCCTCTAAATGCAAGTTGTTGCTTCAGGACTGGTCTGCGTTAACACCTGAACTAAGGATAGGGAGTGAAGTAGTCGAACGCGTTGACAACTTCACTTATCTTGGAAGTCTGATCAGCCCTAATGGGTTGGTATCGGACGAAATCTCAGCACGGATTCGAAAAGCTCGTTTGGCTTTTGCCAACTTACGTCACCTGTGGCGAAGGCGAGATATCCGTCTATCAATAAAAGGACGAGTATACTGCGCGGCAGTCCGTTCTGTTTTACTTTACGGTAGCGAAACATGGCCACTAAGAGTAGAAGACACTCGCAAGCTGCTAGTATTTGACCACAGATGCCTTAGAAATATTGCTGGCGTCTGCTGGGATAATCGGGTAAGTAATAATGAGGTTAGACGCAGGGTATTAGGAAAGGATGGTAAATCAGTTGATGAGGTTATGAATCTTCATCGACTGAGATGGTTGGGCCACGTGTTACGTATGCCTGAACACCGATTACCACGACGTGCAATGCTAACCGGTGTTGGGGATGGTTGGAAGAAAGTTAGGGGCGGCCAAACCAAAACGTGGCATCAGTGCTTGAAGTCACTAACTTCTAGTCTGAGCCATGTTGGTAGATGCAGACTACTTGGTTGGGGTCCGCGTGACTATCGTAACCAATGGTTGGAGACTCTTGGTGACATGGCTCAGAATCGATCACAATGGCGTCGGTGTATACACTCGGTTTCTTCCCTTAAACTAAGAGATTAAAAGCGCTTCATATCTTTCTTTCTACTAACCAATTCTTTCTTCTTGTACTATATCTCTATATGCAATCTTTCTCTTATATATTACCACCTTTTACCTAACCACTGTTATGAATCCGGTGTTCATCTTGTTGTGCTGATGCGGTATGGCAACCTGGACCGATGCACATAAGTGCATGGTTCTACGTTGTAGCTGACTGACTGAGTCAAACAACAACTATCATATATATATTCAACAAACCACTGGATTTTTAACTAAATTTACCTGTATAAACTATAAATAATGCAAAGTAACAACGTAACTTAATGGTCTCAATAAAAATAAAATGCACCAAATCGAGAATACGTGATCTAATGAATTTGTTAATTATCAACAATCAGAATTTATATCAAAGCTTAGAAAACCAGTACACTTCAAAGTCAACTGCTGTTTTTGGGAAACACGACAAATATCGTGAATGCTCGTACACTTACACAATAAATAACACTACACACTGAATAAGTGATTTCAGCATAACAACAAAAATAACTTCCGTAAGGATGTGCTTCACAACTGATTGATCAGACTAATTATACTATTGTAAGATCAAGGTGATTAAAATGTTATTTATACCTCGACAAAAAGATATCAAGTTTATTATAATTTGAAATTATAATGGTCCCACTATCTACTTACGTTTTAAATGTGCGCCTTTAAATTGAATAGGAATACATACCATTGACATAAGCTGATGTATAGCTGCACGTTGAACCAAGGTTGGTGATAAAAATTCAGGTTTCCTAGAACAAAAATGGTAGTATTTACATGAGAACACATTATGACTAATGGTGAAATTGAAAATAAAAGTTAATGCGGTAAAATTATCAGTAATTTGTCAGATTCAATAAATAAACGATACTTATATAATGGTGATCAAATAAATTCCAGAGCCTTAGCTTGTCACGACTAACGCTATGGAGTTAAAGCAAAATTTCTATTTTTTCGTTTTTCAAACGATTGAAAAAACAGAAGAAAATTCTAAATTGTTCTACAAAAATACTCTTATAATAAAAGACTGGTGATAAAATGTGTGCTATGAAACCGGAATAATTACATGTAAGTAATGATTTATTGGTTCAAGTGAATCCTGTCAATTAACAAATGAAATGTAGCTAATAGAACCCGTATAATATAACCTTCTTTACGTATAGAGGTAATCACTGCGAAAAAACCTAAATACCACTCTCATATTTATCAACAATTATTAATGAGACGTAACTATCTTTTTGGTTTTGCCTTTTATTGGCACAGATAGCTGATCTATTCGAGTTATAATTAATCCTATTCAGAATTAGAATGAATAGGTTTATGAGTTGTTGTTGTATGTTAATCTAACCATGTCAGATTTAGAAATACTTGTTGTATAAAAAATAGAAATAGTACTGCAACAGATAAATAATAGATTAAGGCTTCGTTAAGCAGAAAAAAAATACTGACACTGGTGATGGCAACAAAGAATCAGTGAAATGAATATAGTATACTATAGAACTGAATTCTCATCTAATAAACGCATATATCAAAAAAAAATTCTTGTCTACTAAATGAAAACTCATAGCATAACTAGATTCAATTGTATTAAATTTATTCTGAATTTTAGATAAATGATATGTGTTCTGAGTGCATAGAAATAAGTAATAAACATTTATTGTTTTCCAAAAACTTCTAATTTGAAACACAGAATCACAAGCCTATTGATATTAACTTCGATTAGAATGTTCACGTTACGACTAAAAATTCTAACTTAGCTGATATCTAATGATAGTGTGAAAATCTCAAAATACTTTAGCTAACATCAAATTGTAATATAAAAATTACTAGATTACTTCGAATAGGGATCTTAATTTTATTCACAGAAAAAACAACAACATTCAGTTTTATTAACCAATATGTACATAATTATCAGAATGGAGATTTGTGGAGATTGTAGTAATTTTAATAAATAGTTGAATACATGAGTCAATCTAAGCTAGACCACGATTGAAAATCTCAAAGCATTAGACGGCCTTTTCGTCCTAGTATGGGACTCTTTAGCAGTGCACATCCACGATCCCAAACGCGGGTTTCAAACGTGGGACCTTCGATCTCGCGTGCAAACATGTACATGATTGTTAAACAAAGAAAAACGTTCGACGATAAATATGAGTATGTATTTATGAGTCTTTTGTCACAATAAATCAATTAACATTAAAGTTAGTGAAATAACAAAATATGAAACCACAGTTCGTCAGTCAAATAGAAAATAAATAAATAGATCTCAATTACACCTTAATGTAAGGCTCAAATGTTTCACGTTATCAATACTCATCAATGAATGAACTTCTTTTTATCACAATGATAATAATACCTTAATGAAAAAGATAATTTTATTTCAACAATCACGGGATAAGGAATCGTAACTTACATGTTAATTTCTTCTTTTAAAACATGCTGACAAGCACTATATATACGTGGTATCAAGATATTGATACCGGGTAAATCAACACGAAGTAAATCAATTGAATAGAATAACACTAAACATAAAATATAATCATTTTTAACCTGAAATCAAGTAAAAAAATAAGATGGGTAACGAAGAGAGAAAAAAGTAATGTTTCTTCATGATGTTCCCATAGTAAAAAATTCATAAAATTGAAAAATTCTAAAATTATTTCATTGATTAAAATAGTAACAATAAAGACAAATGGTTAGTTGGATTCAATTCTTATGAACACAAATACATCCAATATAATATACATTGACATATTTGTAAATAAGCTTGAAATATATGTGTATATTTTCGTGAGCACCACTAAAATGTATCTCATTACCAAATAATAATAATACTTACGAGAATATATGTATGTAATTGTGGATAACTATGGTTTACATTCACAGAGAATTTATAGATGACTATCATGTGGTGCAAGTATTAATTAATTAAGCACATGCTCAAATAGTAGATACATTTACGTAAAATGTTGTATGTGCAAAAATTACTCCAAATAGATTTTCTTTAATTTGAAGTGGATGCTTCTACAATGTAGTTAATATATATATATATATATATATATATATATATATATATATATATATATATATATATATATATAACAAATAAAGAGCATGACGTTAAAGAATATAAACGAAGGTGACGATAGTGTGGATAATTTAAATTTATTTAAGATAAGAAAACGGTTCTAATGATGAACTGATTAGCAATTTTCCAGTTAAATCAGTCCAGAACAGAAACACCATTGATCATTCAATTAAAACTGCCTCGAAATCACATATACAAATGTAAGTCTTATCTACTCAAATACTGTTATTTATTTATTCATTTATTATTATTACTATTATTGATGCTAAATTTTTATATTTTCGTTCATTACTTATATTCAATAATATGAAGACTGTTTTCACTGTGGGTTGAAATCAATTTGAATCTAACTGGAAATTAGCAGTATACATTCTTGACTCTAAAATAAATCAAACTTTAAGGTTATACAGATATCACTGTTTAGTTGAACAAACAAAAAAGATAATCTAAATTCTTTAATTTTATAAAATACCATGAATATAATCTTACACTACAGTCACTCCTCATAAGTTTAACCTAAGATCAAACCAGTGAATCTCAAATGTTCAACTATTCCTATATAAAAATATTAATCTAATCTTAAAATGTTTATCTATTTCTAATATAGACGCTAATTATAAAAATCTTAAATTGTCAATAAACATGAAATTCATAGAAGAATAAGTTACCGTTTCTAAAAATTTCATGATCATAAACCTATCTAACATAAATTAATTACACCATTATCAAGTTAGTACAACTGAGTAGCATATGATAAATAAACAATTTCTATGCATAGCATTATCCTTATTATTATTAAGATGTTATTTTCATTCAAATCATAAACTAACCGTTGGATCAACAACCAATGCATAATAAAGACATAAATAAAATCGTGTAAGATATTCCTCTGCTAAACGGCCACGTTGAGCGTAGATCATTATTCGACATAGTATTCCAAGAGCTTCAGCACGACCAACTAGAAAACGATTACTATCAATTAATGTAGCTCGATGACTGATTACAGTAACTGAAAGAAAAAATAGTTCAATAATAAGGAGAAATAAAACTGAGTACCTTAGAAATGATATAGTACAGTAACATATCACATGAAACGAAAGTTAATCAACTTATTTTAGGAAATAACGAAAGAAGTGAAAACTACTTTTTCTCTCTGTTCAATGCTTTACTGATTCTTGGTTGGAATAAGTTAACTTACTCAACTACAACTGTAACAAAACAATAGTAAACAGCCTGACGACTTTATAACGTTTCATTGGTAGCCTTTTGAAATAAACTGTTAAAAACAAACACAAGCATTTTTATAGATAAGGAAGATCTGAGTAATTATGAAAACACTAAATAAACTAGTACGTGACGACGGTAACAACAACAATGAAAGCGAAACTAAATGCTGTTAAACCGAAACTAATAAAGCGCTTGTACAGCAAGTAAGACATTATAGAAAGAGGCAAAGATATCAACATACAATGCTGTACAAAGATAAACAGCACCCATTTTTAAAACCATACAGCAGTACATCAAGATAGAAATAAATCAAAATGGAAAGATATTACGCTAGACGTGGTCAAATATAGGCTTAGAAAGGAATATAAAAGAATCGTAAAAGGCTTGACATAGAGTACATAATAGAGTTGATTAAATCCAAACGTCGTCACTGATTTTCGATTATATTAACCATACCACTTACCACTGGTTTATCTTATCCTGAAAACATCCTATAAGTCTTGATTTATTTTGGTAATTTAGACAAACAGTCCATCATTAGCTCTTATCAACCTATTCAGTTTAGTGAGCATTGCAAGTAAAACTAGACAATGACTTGACGGGAGATACATACGACCGAGCTGCTTCAGTCAGCGAAAGTTAACAGCCATATAGTTTGATTTGCTCTAATTTTTCACAATTTTCAATATATGTCCCACACATATGAAGTGGTACACGATAGTCTATAAACTGTTTGGTGAGCTAAAACTGACAAATACTAAATCGTCTTACACATTTCAGCTAAAATTCCACTAGCGACCAGTAGTGACCTATCTTCCGAAATGAGCACATAGAAAATTTTTAGTTTTTCATTTGAGGCAGACTCTCCCTCCCCTTCTCTCTCTCCATATATATCCTGGAATACAGCATAAAATTACCACGAATATGTCTTCAGGAAACAGTTTACTGTGAAATCATAAGGTGATATCAACAGTTACTTTTGATAAGATTTTTTGCGAACATTTAACAGAATACGAAATTCAATGCTTCAATAGGACAGATTGAATAAAAAACATCTTACCAACAACAATAAATCCACAATTTTTGAACAGAAATTTTTGTAAGTTAGTTAGTTACCAGAAAAAAAACGGTTAGCTGCAAATACACCCACAAAAACCCAAGGTAAGATACCAGCTGCACTGTAAAGAACCCGTCTTTATATAACATAAGGCAAAGTCAACATAATAAACGTTAAATATAGTAAACTATTTAACAAGATGAATGGGAGAAGATCGAAATTTGTATATATGTAAGCATACGATGTAAAATGACTGATATTAAACCGATTGTAGTATTTTTGATACATCTAAGGATAAATCTTGAGGATATAACCAATTATATTAAACAAATACTGATTAGTTTAAGTGTTATTAGAATACATCCTCAATTTGTTCACGGTCAAACTTTATTTCTGCTAAAATAATTATTTAATTGGTTGTAAATCATTATTTCCATGTGAGATCTGATTAATAGAATTCCATGGGAAACATTTACTTTTGATTGGATGTGGAATCATTATTATTTTTATAAAAAACATTTTGTTAAAAATTTTCTGGAAATCATTACACTAGTGCATAATAATTTATTTTCTTTAACTGCTTCATACCAATACATAATTAAATGAAATCACAGTGTTAATGTGATAACTCTCCACTGACCAGCATAAAACTTAATTAGCAAGTGTGATTACTCGAGTTCATTATTATCATAATGTTCGTTATTACACAATGTATTGGTCTTCATATCAATAATAAAACAATAATACCCAGTGAAATCCTTCCTAGAACTATAGATATTATTAAACGACAGATTTGAGGAGAGCACGGGGAAAGGTCTGAAACAATTTTCCTTAGTACACAGTCGGTTTAATGTTTTACAAAGAAAAGATTGCATCATAAAGGGATTCGAGATTTAAAATATAAAATGGAGTTTATCCTGACGATTATTCAATCGCTATTATGACCTTTATGTTTCTCATTTTTCTTCATACCTGTTAAGTGGAATATTACATTTCAAAATTCCGAGTTCTTAATTATTTACATCCTTCTATTCTTACCTAACTTTCTGATTATCACGTAACCCCATTCGGTATTTGATGTCTCGAATCACTATATGATGCAATCTTTCCTATCCTTCTATAAGCATATTTATTATACAACTATAAATACGAATGTACAGCTTAAGTAAATAATTTCGTCGAAAAATTTTTTCTTCGCTGAATTCGCAATTAGACAATGGGTTACTCTAATTATTACAAGATAATTCGAATTGCACATCAACAGCTCAAATGATATATAATTTTCATTATATCTATACATAATTGTTGCGAAGTAAATTGTTTAAAAAGCCACAACAGGATAAATATACTGGTAACATCGAACAGTCTAATTCAGTCTGTCAGTTTTTTCACAATTCAACCAGGATATTAGTTATGTTCGTATAATTTAATACAGAATTTATAGGTGAATTATCATACAAGAGTAGGCCAAACGTATACAAGTATGACCAAACGTTAAAAATCTATCCTCCAAATGGTTACTTGTTTAATATGAACAGAGTATACTTTAAAAGTCTACCGGGAATATCTACCAAAACTATAATTTTTAAACAACTGATTCAATAAATCATCGTAATGAATATTTACAGTTAAAAACCAAACTTTCCTAGATCGGTAAACTATATATCTAGGTTCTATAGTTTAAGTATGCTCAAGGTTGTTGAACACAAGACGATATATGATCAATTCTTTAAAAATAACATTGATAGTGTCAGAAACAGTGAGCGGAAGTTTCCGTAAACTTAGTCTTGTTTGATTTCTTTCTGTAAAACACCTACAAAGACAATTCCTTTTGAGTATATTTCAGGTTATATTAATTTAATTAACGACTGTAGTAGTAGTAGTAGTATTTTAACAGGAAATGTGAATAGTCAGGAATCATATTATTATTGGGATAATTTGAAAAGAAAAAAGCCTACAGCAAGAAGTTATTTAGGTATTATTTGCTAAACAACTTACAAACTAAGGTTGTGGCTTTGGTGCCTCATGTCAGAATATTTATTATATGGTATTTATAAAAACATTTTGCAATATTTCAATGATATCGTCTGATTACGATACAGTACAAAATAAGTTCTAGTCACAAAGGGGAATGCCAGAATCTTAGGTATTACAAATACTACTTACTGACAATTGCCAAATAGAATGTAACCAGGATCAACTATGACCCACTGACTGTTAACAGCATCTTCCCTAACTTCAAAGAAGGTAAACCGTAATGACTCAGACTGATATAAGGTCATATTGGGATTTAACTGAGAGAATTCGATCAAAAAGAAGAATTAGACAACATGAAACTAATTACTACCAAGTAATTAGTGAGTACAAATAATTAATCCGTCAAAACAAATTATTAATTATGTTTCTTATTCACTAATTAGTGAATAAGTCTAACAAGCAGTATTTTTCTATTTTAATCCTACTAATATTTATAATGATCAATAGGATTTAAGCGAGACTCAGCTCTTCAATGACTTATCATTCACTTTAGACAACAATTCATAAACTAATTCTCGCGTAGATAATTTAATTAGTGATGCATTAAAGCAAAGTAATAACATAAACTTATCAGTGATTGAACTCTACAATTTTATAACTGTCAGTTACGTCATAAAGTACAGACGTATATATTTAGTTGATGAAAAAGAAACGACATTATCTAACACCAAGAAATTGGTGATTGAAACAGTTATCAGCTAACGAAGTTAACGCACTAAGTTTTTTTAAAAGAAAAAACACGAGCGTTGTGAGTGAGTAAACAAAACTGAAATTATGACGAATACTGATTTATCATGCACAGGCAGAAAAATACTTGTCGTAAAATGAGAGAACAATAAACAACTCTACAGAAATATTGTTCAAATTTATCTTGCTAAAAAATTTGGAATATTTCACTTCATCATGAAAATATAAAATAAAGAGGATGACGATTGAAGTAAAGCGGTTTACGCATTTGATACTCAACTCTATGGGACTATAAAGAACTATCATTCATGCTGCATTCTATATCAGTATAAACAACGGATATGGTATACCTCCTAGTACACAGAATAATAATTAATTAGCAAATTTCCTCTAGATAATGTGCTTAAATTTTTAAACGCAAAAAAAAATTCAACCTAAATAAACCAATATCACTAGTAGCATATCCTCCTAGATACAATTTTAAAAACACACGATTTTGGCCATTTGTTCTTCTATTAGAAAGAATTAACCAAAGACAAGTGGTCTTCACATAAAGAAAGGAAAAGTTAACATACGTGGAACTTAATACATGGGAAAAACACACAAAATAAACTTACAGTCATAATCTACAACTCAGCAAAGTAGTAGAATAGGTTGTTTCGTACAAAAATTTACTGTACAATAGCATAAAAGAAATTCCTTAATTATGAGGAACATTGGCATGATTAACTTTATGACGGCAAACACCGATAAAACAAATAAAGGTAGTGCGAACAAACAAGAAACAATCCAAAAAAATAAATACAAAACTTTAAAAATTCAACAATTTCCACAATTTCCTACAGTTGACTGAAAGATGTAGAGAATTCCGGTGTTTAAGTGTACGACAAAAAAGAAATGCTACGTGGTTATACAGACTAATCGAGTTACTTCTAACATGACTTCAGTTTTAGGTATATAAAATACTTAATAAGATCGAGTGATATTATACAAGAGACAAAATGATCAACTCTTAAAAGTTTAATCCTGGTAGAGAACACCAAAATGGTACTGATATGTGATAATGAAAGTAAAATATGATTGTTCGTTGGGCGTGAACAAACAGACACAAACCACCGACTATTTAATATGTGATTTCCTTTCTTCTCATTGATTTCTATCCTGGGCTCATCGAAAGTGACTGCTCGTAGCTGTGATGAATAAAGTACTATCTAGTGTTAATCTGGTTCTCTATTGTGAGTCGTGAATCCAGGACCTGATATAACGTGATAAGTCTCATTATCGTATCAACATAATATCTCAGTACACCAGAAAGAGGAATATTTTAAACCACCCGTTATATCAGATATAAATGGTGTGACTGCTACTCCAAGTTTAATTTTCATACATAATAACTCTATATTTAACTAGCATAAAGAAGCAATAAGACCAATAATAACAGGAAGATTTCAAGTATAATTGATGAGTGAGATATCTAACTACAAGATGCTTATTTTTTTTAAGCCTGTAACGTTTGAACACTTATCGGACTTGGTAACACGTGTTCATTTGATACATTAAATCTTCGCTACTAATCGATAGATCATCAACTTAAGAGCTATCAAAGCTATCTGAATATTTGCCAAAAATTAGCATATTACAATGTCAACTCAATATGTTTCAACTTTTATTTGAAGAATCAAATTACCTCTATACCTTTGGCATATTGTTCAATCAGGTTAGGCTTGAATATAGCGAAATATCAAGCCAAGTAACAGAGCACAAAGTTGAACACAATTATTCAGATTCATTTATTGGAAATCCCCTTACAATTCTTAAATATAGTGTAATTCTGAACCTATTCTACGTTTATTTAGAAAGTAGTTGATATACAACTTATGACCTGATACAAATATATTCTGATCCAAGGTGCTCCACATGTTATTACAAGAGATAATAAAGCAAAGATGTTAAAACAACTGAAGTATTAATAACAGTTAAAATAAAACAGAGACTATAGTGTAAAAAGAACAAATGGAATTAAGAAATAAGAAATATAAAAAAGTATTAAAACTCAAGATTCAGAAGAAAATAAAGAACAGACTTCAAATCCATTAACAGGTTAACCAGATCTGCCCAACTACGATGTAGCCGTCGACTTTTGTCAATGATTTTCTTTCAGAGGTAACAGTAAGGGAAGTACCTGATACTGCTGCATGGTGTCTGTTTTCAAAACTTTTCAATTTTGCAACTACGGGTTAAATTAGAAAAAATATACACTATTCAAACTGGATTTGATTAACTGGTGATTAACCTTAGTAAAAGTATTAGTTTGCTGAATAAACAAGTGTTTTTTCTAGACATGTAGAGGTTTGATATTGCAAACACTCTAGGTGATAAAAGAATGTAAATAGTGGAAAGGTTTAAATGAATGTCATTGTGAGCATTACTAATAGTAAACTAAAAATAACAAAAGTGAGACTGAAGGTCCTGGGTTCGATTCTTGTTTACGGGGTCGTAGATGCGCATTACTGAAGAGTCTCATACTAGAAAGAAATGGCCATTCAGTTTCTCCAGGTTTTCAATAATCAACTTTCAGTAAAAATGTCCTATTAATACAGAAGTTAACTATATTGGACTTTTTTTAGAAATATATCTCTAACAAAATTATTTTGGACGAATAAATGAAAATCAGTATTTCGTTTAGAAAAGAACGTTACCATGAACTTACTAGGTAAAATATCTAAATGAAATTATCCTAAGAAATATAAATGCATAAATGAACTAGTATAAAAAATCTGCTGTAATATATGAGAACACAAACATAATTAAAATAAGTACTATCATAAATATAAGTAGTAGAAAAACTGATGAAAAAATTCAGACATCACATATACTAACTGAATATATTTTAGAGGAGATTGATTATTTAGAAGAGTGAAATCAGTTTGAGAACTGATGAACATGGCAAAAACATTGGATATTAAGCCTAAGTAGAATTTCATTAATTTCTAACGGTATTATTATTATCACTATTATTATTATTAAGAAAATAATAATAATTATCATATAATCTAGAAATGATTGGAAATGCTGAGAGATATTCAAATGGCGTAATAAACACCGGCATCAAATGTAAATTTTGGGTTAAGAAATCAATGTTCAACATTATCCTAATTTAGTCAACAACCATAAAATAAGATAGAAAAAAGAGGTGAATTACTAGAAGCTGATTTACTTACCACTTAAATCTTGTTTAACTCCTGATACTGATGCTTCAAAAAGCCAAGCACCAAATAGTTGTAACAATGAGTTTATTTCTGGTCTTTGAGGATTTAAGATAATTTGAGAATAGGTTGATAACCAATTTGTAGCTAAATTCTGTAAATGATCGACCTGTATATTTCTATTAACTAAAGACAATATAGGTGGAACATTTCCTAATTTTTGATTAACTGACTGTCCACTTGTTGAAGCATTTGATAACTGCAAAGATCCTTGTGAACTAGAAGTTTGCGACTGTTGAAAAGCATTTGTCAAAGAAGCATTAATTTCAATAGGAGTTAACGAACTACTAGTGGTATGAGGAATATGTACTGAAGTACTATTAAATGGAGCCAACCCAGATTTCAAACCTCCAGAAGTCCCAGTGGAAGCAAGAATACCAGCAGATGTGACTACGCTTGCTAATCTAGATTTTCCTAGATAGGAATATCAATGCAAGAAATAGTTTAAAAAATCACTGTAAGCGTATTTTAACAGAGAATGTAAAGAGTAACATAACTTGGAAAAGAATATACAGTTATATTAGTAAACTGACTTATATTAGTCAGTAATCGGGTAGAGATTGATGTACTCAGCTTTCAGTCAAACTTAATTTATATGAATTAGTGATTCTACTAGCATTCTATCGACTTTATTGTGAATCGAAATAATTAAAACACGGTATCAATCTTCGAACCAACAATTTAAAGTCTAATGTACTAACCATTAAGCCAATGAACCTTTAAAAAACATGTTAGTCTTTATCTTATCTAGCATATACCTAAGTGTGCATAAATGATTCAGATACTTCCGAATAAATATTAAATCTATCTAGTTTTTTCAGCTTTATTTTATAATCATAGGTGGGAATCGTTGAAGTTTTATCAAATTAATCTTTAAGGAATAATTACCTGTTAATTTTCAAATACTGTTAAATTGTCAACTTTGGCGAGTTGTCACTTGTTATTCAAACGTAAAGCAAAAGTAAAAAACAATAAAATTATTGCTCAAATTCAGCAGACCATTGCTGGAGACAATCGCTCTGGGAATTTATCGGTCACAAATTTCTATAATAATTGTTTAAACTTTTAGTATTGATAGGGAAGCAAACTACTATCTACAGTGAGCATAAGTAAAAAATGATTTATAAATACTTTTAACAAGACTTTTAAATGAATTTAATCAACTGTTGGATCAGTAATAGGCTAAATGTAATTCTTATTGCCAATGAAACACGTCGAACGGTACAAATTCTACCACAAACAATTATTAGTGACGCTACATAAGAACATACTTCACATAATTATTTTATTTCCACACTTCTGAAAATGGACTAAACAAACAAAGAGAATACTATCAGTCAGTCGATTCTAACTGTATACAAAACAGAAAAAAGACATAAAATGCTAGACAAATGACAAATTCAGGATGTTAATTTTACAAAACATTCATTTGAAGTACCTGAATAAGAAAGGATTAGAAATTGTCGTTTTAATCAATGAATGTGTGATAACAACGATTTAAAGACGTTTACTTAAAACGAGTTATACACGTAAACCTTAGAAATAAGTGTATTTGCCAAAATTTACCAGAACATTAAAAACCCTACAGTTTTCATTGGAATTTGATGGGATTAAAAATACTAAACATATGAAAAATAATTACATGAATTGAAGTACACTCTTTAAATCGATTCTGGAAAAAACAATATCGCAGAACATACACTAAAGTGTCCTTAAGAAAGCGGAAGATACTTCAATTCATTTTTGATTGTTTGTTTGAATCTTCCCATTGATGTTTAGGACTGCAATTAATCAGCCTCTTATTGACATATGTACATCCTGTGCGGATTGCCTCTATATTGCCCTAATTTACTAGCATTCTAAGCAAAGATGGATAGTGGCTAGCATTGGAATCCAGGACGCGCGTTTCGTCCTTTTTGGGACTCATCATCTGGATGTGCCTGCATCTCGGAGTTGATGTTCAATGTGACTCGAACCCAGTACCGTTCACTCCAGACGCTATCGCCTTACTACTTAGCCGGTACTGTGTTCGAGTCCCAGAGAGAACACCAACTCTGGGATGCAGGTACATCCAGTTGACGAGTCCCAAAAAAAAACGAAACGCGCGTCCTGGATTTCACTGCTAACCACTATCCACCTTTGTTTAGAATGCATGTGACTTAAGGAAAATACTTTAGTTATTAAAATATTTTAAATGTGGAAATAATTACTTACTAGTTGCTTTTTCTGTAGAAAAACTACCAGCAGCCAATCGCGTTCCACTTTGAATATTTGAAAAACCCGTCATAAGGGCTTTCCTGACTTCTGATGTGCATAACATAGAAAAAATAATCAGCACTTATATTAACCTGGTGTTATTCATAATCGTTTTAAAGAAAATTATATAAATAAATATGTTTGTAATACAGGAAAATGTAACGACATTACAACTAATTCCAGAGTATTTTTTTAAAATGAGAGTGACGAGATTTCTTCATTAAAATTTCTATTTGGACCTCAGTAACAAAATGTGTTCATTCACTTGATATTGAGTAGAATTTTCTTGTTTAAGGGCTAATGACACTATCTGGGACAATTCGAATTAATAACTTAATCGTTGATAGCCAAGTGCCTTGACCAATGAATCGATGCACTGTTACAAAGAAGTCATGAACAAAATTGTAACAAATTCCAACAACTGGTAAATAAATTGATCACAGAGAAGTTGAGTTTATTATTATAAGTAAGATTACTAGACAATCCATTCAAAATTAATATATAGGTAAAAGAAATGGATGGTACGTACATGATGTACGATATATCATCTCCTTAAAGCATTTTACACCGTAGAGTATAATAGTTTATAAATTATATGAATGTCAGTCTAACTAATAAAATAATATATAAAACACACACTTTATAGATTTAGACCATTTATAACCACAGATTTCTACATATATCATATTACATATTTTACAAAAATATTTCAATCAATAAGTTACCATCATCATTGTTCACGCTTTGTGTATCTGTGTACTTATGAAATGAAGGGTAACTTTGAAATAATCGACCGATAGGACCATAAAGTTCAGGAATTACACCAACAAATGGATCAATACCAACTGTAAGACTTGGCTGAATACCCAAAAATCCATCCACGATCATTGACAGACCACGTAGGGCTTGATGATATAGATAAGGGAAATAAACAGGTGTCCATCGAATTCTATCATTGCAATTGTATTTCCTAAAAGACACACACAAACACACAGAGAGAGTTAATTTAATCAGTACTTTGTAAATGTTATTTATAGATAATGTTGTTATAGGTACACGATCTCTTATATTGTTTCATGAATGTGAAATTCGGAGACTAAAGAGATATGATGACTTCGTTAACAAATGTACCCATACCTGCCATCATGATTAGACTCATCGAACTTATTGGAGACTGTTGGTTTGAATGTTATGAAGAACCAAATTTACTTTTGGCCAAATAACAACATTTTTAGTAGTCTCATTAAATATAAAAAATAATGACCGAACAATTTATCAATTGGTACATAAAATTAACACAGTAAAGAATGATTTGTAGGTGTAGGAAGGATTTGAATGTGATCAACTTGGTCTCGTGTGCTGTTACGGGTATGAGGGCTGATATCACTTCCCGGCTGCCCACACCGTCGAAGGGTATTTTTTGAGGAACCTGAAAAGGAAGTTGAATTAATGTTGGTCTTAACGACCTGGGAGCGTCACCACAGAGCCCAAGGGACAACTGCTTGAGGCCGGTCACACACGGCATTTTCGTGGAAGGTTTGTAATGTGTTAGCTCCATTCTTCAAAGGGCTTTACCGCCGGAGACGGAAATCTGTGAGGTAAGGTGAGGTGTGACATTTTTAGGGTCGACCTTTTCTAACCCGTTCCTTCCTTGTGAGAAGGCAGCATCACTGCAGATGCTGGTTATCCAAGGGAAACACCTTACTGCTGTCACACCCCTCTACAGTCAGCAGTACGACTTCGCCCTCAGACTTTGAGTTGCTGCTTTTAGTCTTACCGTTCTCCAATCGATCTGCCTGGCATGGTAGAACCTACAGGAACATATGTTCCAGCCAATATAGCTCGGTTGGGTCATCACGATAGGCAAGCCCGACCACCGCGTCAAGGTAGCAGCTTCGGTCAGGGTAAAGAATGATAGACTATACAAAGTTGATTTAGTTGGGTTATGAAATAAAGAGAAGTGAATGACGAACTGTAAGGGACCAAGTAAATTTAGATATAGATTAATATCACGTAAAACTTTGCTGCACTTTTTCAACTTTTATACTTTTTCAGCTTTTGATTTAAATAAATATACGACAAATGATAGCTTTAATTAAGCGTTTTGAACGTAAAGGATTTACAGGTTTCCAGCTACTAAGTAATTAAAGAGATAGCAAAATATTGATGAAACAAAGACAATCGTAAAATATGCTGAACACGAAAAACTACATCACAACATACAATCTACGAAGAAAGTACCATCAGACAGTCTTTTCTGTATCAAAATGATGATGATAGGTGAAAATATGAAAAATTAATACTTGACAAAGACCAGGCATCAGAGTTTACAGTCTTTAATCACATTCATAAGACACTAGATTAAGCTTTATTCGTGAATTGCATTTAATATAGTTTGGTTAGCAAGCATCAGTGATTATCGATTAGTAATACAGAACAGCTTCAATACTCCAATCCCTGTAGTTTTATTGAAAGTTTCTATGATAAAAAATAATACTGAAACCACCTAATTAAGTTTTGCACTTACATAACTTACTCCTTTCTTGAATTAGGGATTTTGAAATCACTTGCTTCCATACGAAAAGCTTACAGTGTCAAGCATTTCTTAATTTCTGTTACGGCTCTACTTGATTACGGCAGAATACGATATACAACTAATGGCACTCGAAAAGACGGGGAAATGATTATTGGGTAAGAATAAAAAATGTACGGAAAAACGTGGGTATCTATAGTTATTAATATTAGCTATAACACCATTATAATTCAGCCCACCCGCAAGGGGACAAATTATGCTATCGTCCAGTCGTAACATGCCACGTTGATATTCTAATGGTTCTACCGATTTCTCATTGGATGAAATCCCTTCGGCTGCTTTAGTCTCTTGAGGTTTCGTTGCGCTATTCGAAGCCGTCCCAAGAATTTCTAATGATTACTTAACTTGTTTTTGTTTTGTAATAAAGATACCTTGGCACTATTTCTTTGATAATAGTCTATAAATATTGTTGTACAAACACTAAGAAATGATGGCATGATGAAATTGCTAGGTTGACCTGACTTCTATTGTTATCAAATGAATGAACCAACAATAAAAACAATAACAGTGTAATTCTTTTGTAATCTATTATACATGAAATAGTTATTCAGTTAACAAACCTCTAATAAATGATAAGTAAGCTAGCGATGTGAACAATGCTTTTAACTCATTTGCTCACTTAACAATCAAATACAGATATAAGACAAACCAGACGGAAAATATTAGTACAGGAGATTTATGGAAATCGCAGGATTTTTACAGTTTTGAATCATGCAGTTAGACGTTAACACTACTGGATACCAGGTCAGTAGTCTGAAGGTTAAAGTATTCGCGTGCAAGACCGAAGAACCTGAGTCCGATTCCCGGTCGCAGGGTCATGAGAACTGCTGTGGAGCCCCATACTAAAACAAAACGGGCTCCCAGTACTTTCAAGATTTAAATAGTGGTCTAGCTAAGATCTCTTAGTAATTTGATACTGGGGAAACTGAACATAGTTATGAATAAAGTTGACTGGTTCAATCTAGACAAATTATAATACAAAATATTCTTTATTGTTTGATACATATTTGAATAATCTAAAACTCCTTTGAAATTCCTAAATAAACAAAAAATAATCTATAAAAAAGAAAGAAACAAGTGGAAGAAGGTGGTTTAGTTTTTTAATAACGAAGTTAATGAAAAGTAATTTATTCGTTGAACCACTCTCCTTTGCTTGTTTTAATCTGCAAAAGTCAATACGCCATGAATACTTGGTGTCACAAAACTTTGGAGTTATTTATAACTGATAGTGATGTAATATTTTTCTGATTTTTAAAGTATGTGTTTTAATTTTTATTTTGGAAATGATTAAGAAAAAACTAAAAATTCAACGTTTTTAAGTCCATGTGAAGTTTTAATACTCAGTATGAAAATTTAATAGTTTGCATTAAACCATTTAATAAAAGTGACATACAAAGTATCCACCAACGATTTATATCAAACCTTATCAGTTCAAAACTGCAATACAGTTTATTCAACAAACTGTAAACTAAATTACATACGTTAAAATTCCCGTATTATTTAGCCAATCAAAAAGATTTAACGGAAATGGAAAGGAATACAAACGAAAAGTAGACAAAAAAGGTTGAGAATTTAACATTAAAATCTAATGTGAATTCATCAGTAACATTATGACCAATTCTGAACTATATTACCATACGTCGCCAAACAACAATTGTCATCAAGTTGAAGGATTCATTCTTTATTTTATTTATTTATTTAAACACATAAACATTGGTACAAGGGGGCACCAAATAGATATGCACCACATAAATCATTCGATTTGAGTGAGGGCCTAATTCAGTAAGTCTACAACTCTTTGAACGATTCAGACTAACACTTATTGGTTTCGTGAATTGATGTCATGTTTTAGTTTAGTCAATTAGTTCAACCTTTTTCGGTCTAAGCTTCGTTTGGTCAGTAATATGTGCTGAAGTGCAAGATGACTCACACAATCCAGTTAATTCAATCGATGGAATTTCACATCCGCATCAAAAGATTTATCTTTAATTTGTTTAAAATATTGAATTTATCCTCAACATTACCCAGTTCACGATTTTGTAATACATAAATAATGATCCAGAGGCACTTAATAACAAATGCCTGTATCTAAGTATATCTTCCAACCTTGTAAGTCACGCCACAAAGCTGTACGATAACACGAAGCTGGCCGTTTTGCATTGAAACTATTATTAGGATAGGACTTTAACTAACGGAAATTTTATTCTTAAAAACGGTAAAAAAAAATTTCTATAAGTTTTACAAATAACTTTGGTTTGAGTCGACTGCTTAACGACACCATTAACCTCAATGAACATGTGAGAACGATAATTCATCAGGACAATCATAAAGATTACAAACGTCATGGAAACCATAGGGAATAAGAAAAATCTATAAGAAGTTCTTTCATATCATCAGGATATATCTTAACAAGTAAAAATATCAGAGCAAAATAGAGAAAATACAGTTTATAACTTACTTATATTCTTCAAAAATCGGTGTATTACAGATTAAACGTTCATGACTAAGATCTACTGGATTGTCGATCAAATATAACATACGAATCCAAGATTCTTTCGCATTTCCATCAGGTAGATCAGATGGAATTAATTGAATGAAAGAAGCATAAGCTAAATTAGAATGAAATAATTGTATTGGTTAACTTGAAGATCAATAGTGTGGATAATACGATGATGTTTGAAACAAAAGGTAATGCGTTCAAGTCTTCATGTGAACATCAATACTTAGCTCAGGTAAATCCTGTGAACGGATCCCAAGCCGGACGAAACACGCGTACTGAATTCCATCACAAACTACATATCAAATATACTGAGAAATGTGTGACTTCATGAATATAGAGGTAATCTAGTAAGGATGAAAATATGGTAACATAGACTAATCAATGGCAGTCTTAAATATCACCGTCAGAAAACTATATAGTGTTAATCCACCTAGATTAATCGATAGTCAGTCAGTCAGTCAGTAACAACGTGGAACTTAGTACGTACGTACATCAGTTCGAATTGCCATACCACATTAGCACAGAGATACAATGGTCGATTCAAATACCGTAGTGGTAGAGGTAGTCAAAGTATAAGCAGTAATCGGAAACATTAGGGTTTGAAGATGTTATTCAAAGAGTATAATACAGTGAAATAAATTTTGAAAGAAAATAAGGGACATGAAGAATTCAGAAGATTAGAATTTGGGAAAACACAAAGAGTGGATGCACCTGTGTCATTGCAAGCGATTTTGAGTCATGTCATTCAGGGTCTCTAACCATCGGTTGCTATCATCTCGCGGTCCCTAACCAGGTAGTCTACACCTACCGGTATGACTCAGTCCACTTGTCAGTGACTTCATGGATTTGTGCCATGTTTTGGTCTGGCCGACCCTAGCTTTCTTCCAACCTACTCCTATACCACTGAACATCGCACGTCAGGTAGTCGTTCGTTGGGCATACGTAACACGTGTCCCAGCCATCTCAACTGATGAAGTTTCACTACTTCATCAATTGATTTGCCATCCTTACCTAGTACCCGTTTCCTAACAACTGCATTACTTACTCGATGGTCCCAGGATATACAAGCAATATTTCGAAGACACCTATGATCAAATACTAGTAACCTACGAATATCCTCTAATCTTACCGGCCATGTTTCACTGCCATGAAGTAGGACGGAACGATCAGCTGAGCAGTAAACACGTCCTTTGGTTGACAGACGGATATCTCGCCTACGCCATAAATGACGCAAGTTAGCAAAAGCTAGTCGAGCCTTCTGTATCCGTGCTGAGATTTCGTCACACACCAGACCACAAGGGCTGATGAGACTTCCAAGATAAGTGAAGCGGTCGACACGCTTAACTACTTTACTGCCTATCGTTAGTTCAGGTGTCGATGCAATCCAATCCTGAAGCAACATTTTGCATTTCGAGGGGGAGAATCGCATCCCGAACATGCTTGCATTGTTGCTTAGAGTGGTCAGAAGACTCTGCATTTTGTCAGCGTCTTTGCCAAATAGAACTATGTCATCGGCATATTCCAAGTCAACAAGTGAATCTCCTGGTAGGAGTTCAACCCTTGGAAATTCAGATGAGGAAAGTGTTACCTCTAAAAGCACGTCAATGACAAAGTTAAACAAGAACGGAGTGGGCAGCCCTGACGAACACCACTTAAGGTAATCAATTCTGATGACAGTTCGCCATAAGCTCTCACTCAGTCAGTCAGCTACAACGTAGGACCAGGCACATATATGCATCGGTCCAGGTTGCCATACCTCGTTAGCACAGCAAGCTCTCACTCGACCAGTCGTGTTTGAGTAGAGAGCCTTTACAAGGTTAATGTACTTCTTTGGTACTCCTTTCAGTGACAAACACTGCCATAGAACCTTACGATCAACAGAGTCGAATGCCGCCTTAAGGTCGAGAAATAATACGATTGTGGGGCGTTTGAAAGTGTGTCTGTGTTCTAGAACCTGATGTAGTGTGAATATCTGGTCTATACAGCCACGTCCAGGTCGAAAACCAGTCTGGTTTTCTCTAATCTGCTCTTCGCGAGCTTTAGTTAGGCGTCGAAGTACTATTGAGGCTAATATTTGAAACATTATATTAGTGAAACTGATTCCTCTGTGATTGTCACAAGAGGACTTTTGTCCTTTCTTATAGACTGGCACAACCAGTGATTGAGACCAGTTAGATGGGATTACGTCCAGTTCCCAAATACTACCTCAAATAATCTCACTGCTAATATTGGACCACAATCCTTAAAAATCTCAGGAGTAAAACTGTCAGGGCCAGCTGCTCTCCCTCGCTTCAAATTTCCTATAGCTTTTTCAACTTCGTAAAGAGTCGGAGGACCTAAATTAACTTGCCATTCAGGTTGACTGGAGATCGTGGGAAACCGAAGTGTGGTTGAAGGCCAGTTGGACTTATCCCTGAAGTGTTCTGCCCATCGATCCAATCTCCTGGATTGAGAATGTATAATATGTCCATCTTTCTCTGAGATTGTTTCGCTAACAATCGGGTTCCCAATACCGGTTTCCCTAACGAGTCTGAACAACTGTCTGCTATTACATATTGCCGCTGCCTTTTCCATCTCTCTGTTGCTTTCGCTACCCACCACTGTTCGCGATCATTGCGTAGGCTTCTTGTCAGCTTGTGCTTAAGCTGACTCCGCTCTTCATTATGTTCAGATCCAGATGGAATGAGTTTTCGAGCATCTTTCAGTACGGTAAATGCTTCTGAGATCCAGTGTTGCTCCCTAACCTTACGGTTTACCGTACTAGCAGATATCACTGCTGTTTCCACAGCTTTTCGGATATCACTACATGCTGCCTCGGGGTGGGCATCACATACATGGATGCTTAACTGTTTTCCTAGTTGTTTCTGAAATATACTCTTAGTTTGACTATCATTAAACAGAACCCTAAGAGGTTTCCTTGCAACGCCTTTCCTACGTCCAGTAAGACGCAAGCAAATACGCGCTCGCACTAGAGCATGATCTGAATCTAAGCATGTGGTCCAGAATGAGCGACAGTCTTCTATCGAGCCTCTCCATCGGTGGCTGATAGCGATGTGATCTATTTGGGTTCAACGTTGGGACGAATTCGGGGGTCGCCATGTCAAAAGATGTTTTTCCTTATGCTTAAAGTTAGTATTTGCAAGGAACAGGCGGTTATCTGAGCATAGCTGCAACAGACGGTCGCCATTATCTGTTCGTTGAGCCACGACACTATAAGATCCACCTAGGTGTCTTTCCCTATTGCTTAGTTTACCTACTTGAGCATTAAAGTCACCAGCCACCATTACTACATCCGAGCGCCTAGATTTTCGGAGAAGGTTGGAAAGCTTTCTGTAAAACTCATCTTTAACATCATGTGAGCTGCAGTCAGTGGGAGAACAGGCAGGAACGACGAAGAGGCAACGACGAGTGTCCCTACCTTTCCGAGTCCTTATTGTTCCGTTTAGTCGGACAGCGCACAAACGATTGTCTACTGGGATCCAGTCTAAGAGAGCTAGTCCTGCCCTAGGACTCAATGTTATACCTACGCCGGCGAGGCCACGAGAAGCAGCATCTGGGCTTCCAGATATACGAAGTGTGAATCGAGTTGGTTCTTTGTTTCGACATGGTGATGTCAAATGAATGACGCTACTCGGATCCTGTATGCGCGTTTCGGAGACGCAGCACACATCGATGGCGTGAGATTCTAGAGTCCTAGCTAAGTAAGCCTGTTGTCCTATTTGGCACAGTGTAGTTTAGAGCGTGGTTTCAGGAGAACAGGAATAACGTTCCGCGTACTCAAATCGTTTGCCTTAGCGGTGCGAGGTGATAAAAGGACGTGAGAAGGGTTAGTCGTGGAGATAAGAGTGGTATTAAGAAGTGTAGGAAGGATTTGAATGTGATCAACTTGGTCTCGTGTGCTGTTACGGGTATGAGGGCTGATATCACTTCCCGGCTGCTCACACCGTCGAAGGGTATTTTTTGAGGAACCTGAAAAGGAAGTTGAATTAATGTTGGTCTTAACGACCTGGGAGCGTCACCGCAGAGCCCAAGGGACAACTGCTTGAGGCCAGTCGCACACGGCCTTTTTGTGGGAAGTTTTTAGGGTGTAGCTCCGTTCTTCAAAGGGCTTTACCGCCGGAGACGGAAATCTGTGAGGTAAGGTGAGGTGTGACATTTTTAGGGTCGACCTTTTCTAACCCGTTCCTTGTGAGAAGGCAGCATCGCTGTAGATGCTGGTTGTCCGAGGGAAACACCTTACTGCTGTCACACCCCTCTACAGTCAACAGTACGACTTCGCCCTCAGACATCGATAGTAACTTAAAATTTCGACAACGTCCTGAGAAAGCAACAACAGCTCAAAAGAAAACTTTTTATGGATATCGAATTTAAAGGAGATACGGCTACTGAAATCTTGAATAAACGGATTTCAAAACCCCTGAATAAAACCTATTCAACTAAGCTCCGCATTGTCTTCTCAAGCCAGTTTATCATTCAGGGATATGTTGAGGACAAATTTTCTCTTTGAGTCATATCGATAAATTTACTTGCTTCTGTACGGTAGGTTACATTGGCCGCATAAAGCGATCACTTTCCAAACGCATCTCAGAACATTATTCGGAGTGGCTGTTAAAAGGAAAATGCAAAAGCTATCAACTCAATACAGGAGCATCTAATCAACTTTAAACACGTCACTTCGAAGGAGTCTTCCTTTAAAATGGTCAAAACAATCAAATGAACTGGATCGAAAGGAGGTTGAATCAAAAACGTATACGCGATTGAGACCCGGACTCTGTGCGTAAAAACGATACGTTCAACCTCTCATCCTTCCTTGACCCTAATTTCCCTCTGTAGTATGTTTTGGTATATTTTTAATTAGTGTTTTGTGATTTTTAACCGTAACCAGTTATTATTATCCATTAACAATTTTTCATGATTATTATCCAGTTATTATTATGACCTTTATGTCCTTTTTTTCATATCTGTCAAGCGGACAATTATCTTTCATAATTTTGACCCGTTAATTATTTACGTCTTTCTATTCTTATCTAACCCTCTGATTATTAGGTAACTCCACTCGATATTTGGAGTCTCGAGTCACTTTATGATGCAACCCTTTCCACCCTTCTATAGACATATATATATTTACCATACAACTATAAATACAAATGTACAGATTAAGTAAATAACTTCGTCGAAAAGAAAATTTTCCTCGCTGAATTCTGTTTTTACTATTCAACGATACAATGGGTTATTTTAATTACTTTAAAAATAACAATTGAGAAATTAACTAATAGGGTTGAAATATTCACCATTGAGTGATTTCATATAAATCAATCACAACCTACTGCACAGACGAAGTCATAAGCACATAGTGATTATTTTTATGTAATATTCAGAATTATATACTGCATTGAATCAATTCAAATGTTCAGCTGTAACACTCAATTGTGTTAGATTACTTCAAAAGAATAGATTCATAAAGAAGAAAGACTATCATTGTGCTATGTTGTTAGAAGATATCTGAAAGCCTAGATGTACTGTTAGTAGGTACAAAGTATTTTGATAACAGACTAACCATATTTTTAAAAAGGTTTGACATTCTAATCTTTTTATGGGTTGGTAAGGGAAAATTGACTCTAATCAACTTGTTCTTAAGGAATATTGCTCAAAGGAACAAGCAATTTTTGGGGAAATAGTTTTTAAAAAATTGTTTACATACGTTTCGAGATGCTTTGAACGATGTAATAGGGTAATATCATTGAAACACTTTTGCGATGCGGGTCTTATTATGATCCTTCGTGATTATTAAAAACACTACTCGTTATCAACTTTATTGAGAAATAGATTGTAGTGAATGAATCAATCATATTTTTGTATCTATTAAGATTCTAGAACACAACCTCATTCGAATCTGCTTTTGAAGAAAGTACTGGACAAATATGTCAGTATTTTGCGTGTGATTTGATCTGTGAGAATCCAACTGTTTAGCTGATGATGAATGAAAAATAGTCGTTAGTGATCACAAGACGTATCATACGTTACTATTTTAACATGGTTTCGTCACATACTACTGACTATATGTTGGAAACTATGTCTGGTTTTTTTATTTTATTGATTTATAGCACAGGTCACTAAGTAAGCCACCAATTTAGTCAAACTAAGACACTGATAAGCTATAATTGCCACTTAACTTTGCGGCACAATCCGGAATATTTGGAAGTGCGTTCAACTTCCAAATTCTGTCTCGCTGTCACATATATTAATACAACAACACTCAACTTCCAAAAGATGGTCTTGGAGAATTGATTATCGAAAAAATTATATATATAAGACCACGTAAAAATTACCGTTTAAGTTAGTAGGTTTATTTAGTATACCAAGTAAAGTAGCGGATAGTGCCACGGAAACACGAGACCACTGTTTAATAAACGCATTATGATGTCGCCATACTTTTGCGCACTCTCTGAATGCGACCCAGAGTTGTGGTTTAGGAAAACAATGAGTACAAGCTTTTAACCAAGTACTGAATAGTAAGTTGGAAACGCAGTCTGATATGACTTCAAATAAGGTAGCTGAATCCTTGGTGCCCCTAACATCTGAAGAACTGGAATGATTTGACAAAAGAGCCATAGAATTAGGTCCACCAACAGATCCTGATCCCGAAATAAAAGTATTGGTCATCTGAGAAGCCCCGGTAGATGACTGGAGTAATCCTGATGGTAAATGTAAAGGTGGTGACAGAATAGCATGACATATGATCAGACAAAACCGCAATATACAATCCCAGGAGTCAGATGTTAACTGAGTCGGTACTGAGCACAATTCTTCGACTGCAACAACCACCAGTTTTATAATATCCAACTGCTTATTTAGCAACGCTGATAAGTGTGTTGACTCGATCACTAAAAAATTATTAAAAAGAATAGGACTAAACAAAAATTTAATTTTAAAAAGCAGAACGAATAAGCAAAACTTACAAACCAAAATTAGGAATAGAGATTACATTAGAGTGGCAACTGAAAATTGTATATCTACATTGCATAAACCATTCTTTATGTAAAATTGGAATAACAATGACACCCGGGAATCAGTAGAACTGATGCAAACTAGTGTAGTTCCAACAGGCTAATCTGAAATGTTACAATATAATCTCCTTGGACCATAAATGACACCAACGTACTAAAATTACGAATACAACAAAAATTACCGTCTTATGGAACCACATCAAAACTACTTTGCTTACCTGGACTGATATCGTTAGGTATTTTGAGACTTTGTCAAAACTCTAAGCACTTTCATTATTATCTGTTAGGAATTCATTATTACTATACAGTAAATTAATGAGAGCAGTGATTCTGAAACAGTTACGTGGCACTGTTAAGTTGAGTTCCAGTCAAACATTTCCTTTAGTTTTGTCATCCCTCACTAACTTAATCTAAATACATAAATATTATAACCGTCCTTACCACTATTATACGACAATCTCGTTTGCAAGATGGAAGTTTTTATTATCCACTAGATACGACTTGATTCCATGTTAGAATATTGCAGCACAGATGCAACAAAATGAACAGATCTGGTGAAAACTGAGACAACAGTTAAGTCATAAACTCACAACTACGAAACAGCTAGACACTGAACCTTCCCGGTCATGGGAGTGGAGTCACGAAAGTACCGAAAATTCCATGATGGTGGAATACCTTTAACCTTCATGTTCTCATGTATGTGAAAATTACAAGGAGGTAACCGACAAGAACCAAGGCTGCTAAAATACTTATGATGGGTTATTATCTACGAAAAGCCGAGAGCCACCACATTATTGACTTAGATGACATTAATATGGCTCCAAACAAGCCACCTGTTTTAATAAGCTGATGAGAATAACATAAAACAACATTTATGACAAGAATAAATGAAAGGCTAAAACTCTAACCTGTAAAAGAAGATGGAGCTTCTGATGAGTCGGCACTAGTCGAATATTGTGGAGGTGCTAAACTTCGACCAAGGGTTGAAAACATTAACTTAGGCTGATCACTTAATGGTTCTGGATCACGTGGAAGGAAATAATAAGTGAGGGAGAACAAAAGCGATTTTAAGAAACGTTGTGGCTCCTTTTGTAGAATCAACGGAATTGGTGAGTTTGAATTCCCTGATTGTGTGGAGCGCATTGAAGAATTAAGACATTTGATCCAATAGCAGTAAATATGTGCACTATGTTTGATGACGTCCCAATTTTCAGATGACATAGTCAGTCCGTAAGTGATAGCCTATGTAATAAAAATGAGACTGCCTAAAATAAACGTAAGATGTGATTGATATGACTAAAAATGATGCACATATGACTGCTTACGATCATGTTAGTAAATAATGACACTAGCGCTTATAAGGTGACCGATTTATTCTAACATATTACTGTTCATATATTTCACAAAATATTACAAACCGTAAATCATAGTCCAAACACTTCATCCATGGTTTCAGGCTAAATGCTATACACACAACTTAGCCATAAAAACCCTATAAAATTGATTACCTCTAAGAGCAGACCAAAAAATTTTGTTTATAACATAGGAAGAAGAAACAACATAGGATTCGGGAAGGTTAAACGTTTTAAAATTCACCTTTATGGTATCTTAAGGCAAAAATCAAGTGTTTTTCTTAAATGTTACATCATGAGCCATCCCAAAAATGGCACATAAAATATTTCTGTACGGTTAGAATGCCTAAAACAGCATACAGATGCTAAGAGATCGTAACTAGTTAAGTATGAAATCGATTTTTGCGTGATAGATGTTAAGAACGAAGGACAAAAGAACAAAAGTTCATGGGAGTAAACTTTATCACACTGCTTTTTGTAATAACCGTGGAAAAAAGAAATAAAGGTTAATGATGTGAAAATCTGTTCTGGCTAACAAAATAGTCAAATGGTCATTTGCTTTTAAGTAATTAGTATCAAGTACCACGTATGCTTTATAACAGAATTGTGTAGCAAATATATAGCGCTATTATGTGTCTCAAATCTTAATAAAACAAAAAACTCAAATTCCTATGACACTAAAGACTTCGCAAGAATTGATTGGTTTTAGGAAACTTTTACTCGCTATAAGTTTAAGTTCAAATTGTTTTATTGTCAGTCAGTACCTTAGTTACAACAAAAACTTCGTATAAACAGGAAAAACTAAGACACATAGTTGTATGAGTTTATGAATCATTATATTTGGTCAGTCAGAATTAACGTAGAGCATGGTAAGAATTTTAGTTGCTCATGTTGTCATACCATTATAGCATAACGAGATGAAATTAACAAGATGAATAGCAAAAAAGTAACAATGATAGTGAGAAAGATTAAGTGTGGAATTTTACAGATGTATAACAGACTAGTACATACATAGAACTGCCTGCAGTACCGTCTGCATACATGAAATGCAAACACAACTATATGATATATACATACATTCTTAACCCACAACGATTAAACACTATTACTAAAGTTACATCAGATAAATATAGATAATAGTAAAATAATTTTAGTCACAACGAATAGGTTTGTGACTCTATGGTTTATAGATTTAACTTCCAAGGATTCAAGTTAGAAATTCTAATCTATAGGATAAATTGTAGGTATTTAAACAGAATAACAAACACTATTAAAATAACCATAAATAAGAAAAAGAGTATGGATTACAATCCAATTTTCCTTGTGGAACAGATTCTGTTTTACTAACTCGAATCGATAATATTGCTGCAATAAATATTGGTAATAGCAGAGATTAAATATTGATCAACGTGCTCACTTTGAAACTGGAAAAAACAACTATAAACTGAGAATGTAATATAAACTAGTGATTCATCATCATATAACCATACATACACCTGGAAATTGCTATTGCTTACTTTTGGAACTCCAACAACAGTACAAAGAAAGAGAAGGTATAAATGAAACCTTTATGCAGCTGTAATGCAAAGACCTACATACTTGACTAGAAATCAAATTATTTTGATCAAAACAACCGGATAGTATTGCTCACCAGTATATAATATGTATGGTCAGTAAATTTATAAACGGATAGGTACCTAGCTACAGATTCGCAAAGCACTGATCTCCTTAAATCAGAAACTCAAAAAATAAACTCTAGACTGATACATCCTGTGTACCTTAGATATTCTAAAACTTACCCCTGCAGGTCAGATATCCCGATTCGAGACTCGACCTAAGAAATACTAAATCTAATTTTAATACACTAATGACTGATTGTGTGAAATTTACACAAGAATCATACTGTTATAAGAGAAAAAATATGTGCAAATTGTATTTTGAACGTACATGCATAACCCAACGCAGTTCATCTGGAGAATCAAAACGTACTACGGAAGTCTGACCAGAAAAAGATGAACGCGGATTCGGTGCTGAAGAAACATTTTGGGGAAGAGATATAGATTCGCTTCGATGAGAAACAGAACCATCATGTGTCGCATCGGTATTGGCAGGTACTACATCACCAGACGATGACAGAAGAGTACATGAACAATCACACTAAAATTTGATTAGAATAAGTTCCCGTATAAACAGGAAAAAGATAGAAAACAGTTTCACTATTTTCGAATTGGTCAACGTGTAAGTAATTTGCATCACCATCTAGCAAGATTTTATCTAATAATACATACACAACGTAAGGTAGTTGGAAGTAGTCAGCAAGAAACTCTGCTCTAGGTCTCATGACACTTAGAATTCATGACCAAAATGTAACTATAATGCTGAAGGGAGTGATGCCCTTTGTGAAGTTTGAACAAGCGTCGCCCAGCTTCACAGCCTGAGACGTTACCGCTGAGCTATTAAGTCCACAACTTACCTATAAGACATCTCGTTTATCAAACAATCATATGTCTATATACAAAAATATTTAGCAAAATGTGAGAAATAAAGACTTGGAGTATGAAACTTAGTGGTGATATTTTCAGGGAATACAGTCTGGAATATTTGAAAATCACCACTTGTTTGATGGTTTACCTTTGCTTCCCTCCATAAAAATTTTTTCAGGAATATTTCACGCATCAAAAAGTTCTGTATTATTGATGGCCATCATGTTAAAACGGTAAAATCTCCACAATAAGTTCACGTGACTAGTTGCTAAATGTATAACTGCTATTACAGATAATTTGGAATAGTAATATTTATTTAATTTTACTAGTTTCTTATTAAGTGCATATAATTTGCAATAATGCATAAACGTAACATGAAAGTATAGTCCGAATAGAGGGCCTCAATACAAAAGTTCATCAACATGGATGAAATGGTAGTTTAATGGTTATGGCATCAAAGTTTCACACTCCCCTAGCCTAATTTAGCATAAGTAACCGTTTAGTATCACTAGTCTTGAAACAAAATCTGTGAATTTAAGCTGGGTGAATGATTACTCAACGAAATCTAAATATTCAGATTAAGTGTGTATTCACGAAACATGTAGGTGAATGTTTCCAAATAATCAAAAGGAAATGAGGTCTGTGAAATGAGACGACAATATAGTTATACGAAAGGTTGCTTGAATCGGAAAAAAATAAATTACTATTATTAGGGAGGCAAAAAATTGGTGATAAGAATAACAGTTCAATTATCATCTAGTTGGATTTTCGAGTGCCCTTTAAAAAATCAACATCCTAAAAGTCAAAGAGCAATAACTAATTGTAAAATAGGTACGATGTTATGTAGAAGTAATAAAGACCCTCATAGAACAGCTCAGCTACACTAATAAAGTTGCCTAATACCCTTACTTCAGATGGAGTTTATTATTATTAAGGTGTTTTAGTATGGCTGATTACGAATACAGTTGTTATCACAAGGATGAGCAAAAGGCTGACCAACAGACGATAAGTAATGATAAGATATGAAGGCTCACAAGATGGAAGCACAAATGAAGACTTCTGAATGAATCGATATCAAGAGACAACAAAGCGGCCAACTGAATAAAATTTTCTTTACTGTAAAGCGTTGCCCTGATATATACAAATTATTGAATAAAATTATAGGACAATTAGAAGTAATTTGAAACATGATTGATTATAGAATATGTGTTTGATTTATTAATCATACACCAAAGAAACTATGACAAAACTAAATAGGTTAATTCTTAACTGTAATGCCACCTATAATAATCAATACAGTCGATTGTAAATGCTAAACAACCAGTTAATTAAGTCCTTTATATTTAATCCAGTTCTGTCACAGATCGATTCAGTGATGGTCACGAACGAATGACCATAGGATATCTCATTTTCAGGCTTCCAATGATTATTCAACTGAAATAATCACGTACGGCTGCTTACTTACTTACGCCTGTTACCCCTTTTAGAGAAGCATAAGCCGCTCACCAGCATTCTCCATCCAGCACTCTCCTGGATGATCCTTTCCAGTTGTTTCCAGTCGCTATTCATACTTTTCATATCTGCTTCCAATTCCCGACGCAATGTGGTTCTCGACCTTCCACTTTTTCGCTTCCCTTCAGGATCCGAAGTTAACGCTTACCTAGTGATGCAGTTTGTTAATTTCCCTAATGTGTGTCCTATCCACACCCAATATCTTTCCTTAATTTCCTCCTCAGCTAAAAGTTGGTTTGTTCTCTACCACAACAGGCTGACGTATGACTGCAGTAATCTGTATTTTATTCATAACTGTGTTTTAATATGACGGGAATTTTCCAGTAACTAATAATTTAAGTTTACTTTTGTAACTGAAAACTTAGTTGCTTGTTTAATTGGAATAAATACATAATCCACTACAAATAATTGTTTTCTTTAACTTAAACACTGTACTATTAAATGAAACATCATCCTACCTTCACACTCATTACAGTGCTGGTGGCTATAGAGTTAGCAACCTCTACAGGAAACAAACGCAAAAAACTTTCATATTCAAGAAGTTGATTGTATGTAGAATGAAGTTCAGAAGACCATCCTTTGTATGCATCTAAGAACATGAAATACAAGTGAAACTAAGTGCAAATTTAACCAAACTAAGAGTAGTATTAGTTGAATATAACTCTCAGTTTCGTGAAGTTTACTAATGATTACACATCAATAAGCTCAAACATAAGAACAAGAAGTTATAGAAGAGAATAAACAAAATTATCAATTCAGATAGTCTTCTGTCAAGAAAATTTAAAATAATAGCTCAGATGATCATACCTGTGAATAAAATGACTTACTAACTAACAACCTACCTACATTTACGCTAGCTTGGTAGTTATTTACTTAAGATCTACACAAGTTACACATTACTTTTCGTCAGAACTAACTGCCAGAAGTTGTTAGTGATGTGTCAGTTAATTTTTGCTGCCGACGATAAACTAGTATATCATAGTGCAGTCGGATACTGATAATATGGATTAATACAAGAATTTTTCTGACTTCCTTGTAAATCCCTTAATTTCATATTTCTTACTAGAAATAGCAATTTTTATGTAACTTTTTAGGCGGTGATTTTTGCCCAGGAAACCTATTCATTGATGTGAAATATCTAGTTGACTTTGTTCTGTTTAATGGAGACTGACATAATTAGGATCATTTGAACGCTTTGAGTAACGATGAACTGGAGAGCATTTATTGCCCAATGAATGCAAAACATTGCTTCTAGACTGGTCTGCATCAACATACAAACTAATGATAGGAAGTGAAGAAGTTGAGAGTGTTTATCTCTCCACCCATCTTGGAAGTCTCACAAGCTCTGATGGACTGGTGTTTGACGATAAACAAGGACATGTTCGGAAACATTCCTAGGCTTTTACCGAACTGCGTCACCTTTGGTGTAAACGAAACGTCTGTCTACGAACCAACGGATGAGCGTGCTGTTCAGCATTTAGCTCTCTTTTAACTTATGTCTCCGAAATGTGGCCTTCAGTGGCAAAAAGCATACGTAAGTTACAATTTCTTGGGCATAGGTGGTTTCGTAGTATTACTGGTCTATGATGGAACAATAAAGTGAACAATACTGGGGTTGTGCACAAGGTACTAGGCAAATATGTATTTATTTATTTATTTGTTTATTTATTTACTTGAACTCATAAATATTGGTATAAAGGCACACCGAATACATATGCGCTACACAAGTCACTCGATTTGTGTGGGCTGGGATACTGCCCATGTGCCCAGACCGAAGCAGGTGGTTTTTATGGGGAGCCACATCCCGTGCCTTAGACCAAAGGTTTTGACCAACAAGGCAGTGGAGCAACGTCAGGAGATGTAATCCCATGGTGGCTGCCGACAAACAATAGGTTTATACTCCATTTGTTCCCTCAGGATCCCAGAGCCCATGTACACCATCGGTTTGGAATCAGGGTTTTTCAACTCCCCTAGGTGGATCCTCCGTATCCATCAACCCGGTTAAAGCGCCGGACATTCGCTTTTCGTCCTCTCAATTTCGTAAACAGAGGGGCTCTCACGACCCATTGATACCCGTTTATTTAATCCAACGAACTGTACCTACATCAACGTCCATATAACCTATGATAAGAAGTTCTCCAAATCATACATAAAAACCGTGAAGATCGATAATAATAATAACTCCTAATAATAGAGACAAATTTAATAGCTGAGTTTAGTGGTTTTGGCTGGTTATTTGAAGCAGTAACAAGCTTAGTGTCAATAGAACAATTTATGTGGGATAAATTTGAACAACACTCAGGAACGCTTGGAATAAATATTGGGTTCGAAGAGCACTAAGTTGATAGCTTGACATAAAAATAAGTCATTTATTTTGTTTGCCAAAGAAGAATCGCTATGAAGATAGGTTCGATAACACTAAAACCATCAGTGACGCAGAATACACTTACAATTAATAAGTTTACTCGTACTTTACGAAAATACTAGAACTAGTATGAAAGATTGGAAACTAAAACTTAACACAGAGCACGGCATACAAAAAAGGAGTGGGATCGAAAAATGAAAAGTATAAAATAGCACTAGCTTTCGGATTTAGGGATCGATAGACGGAATACAACTAGGCCAATACAGCTGGCCCCATCATATGTATCGTCATCCATCCAACGATAATGATCAATGTACTTACTTTAAATGCTAACCTTTTTTCTATATAGTATAAACCAACAACCAACGACTTGGTTGATAGGTTTTATACTGTTTCTTTCACAATGACCCGATACCAGCTATTGAGGTAGGCGGTGGTTAAATTTAAATTAAATATCCGCAAGCCCATCAATCAATATACCAGCCATACACAAAATCATATATATCAAACCTAGGTTGATCACTTGGCGGCCAAATCATACTTAAAAGGCACTTATTAGAGAAGGTGGAATATTTCTACGTTCCCTACCTACATGGACTGTTTCACAGCCACAGAGTAATGCAGTGCAACTGCATGGTAGTCTTTAGTTGTATTGTAACAAGATACGGTCACAGTGAATCATCAAAATGATGAGAATAGTGAAGAATGATTGACATACGATCCAATTTCTCGCCACCTTTAAGTCTCGGTGGTCATTTTTATTGGTGCCATCTGTAAACTAATTTTATAATATAGGGTTAAAGAAGCGACTTTTCAAGATAAGATTCAAAATGAAAAAGTTACCAAAACATGTAGCTAAAAGCATAGCGATAATATTGATCGACTTACTTAAATCCATTTTGTAAAACCAAAACGATCCGTTTATCCAAAACAGTTGATAAAAATTGGTAAAATCCTATTCTGTACTCGCTAAAAACAGGTAATTTTAAAATAAAATGTGAGGAAAGATGAGATAAGATCCCTGAAAGACTAAAAATTAGGGTAAAACGGCAAGTGAAGTTCGAAAGCAAATAAAAAGAACGGAAATCGGCTCACAGGACAATTTGAAGCATGACGTAATAAGTAAGCTTAAAACTTGGTAGAAAAAGAGCCAACAATGTAAAATATTAGAATGATCCAGAAGTCACACTTAGCATAATATTATCACCAATTGCTGACTGTTAAGCCTTAAAAATTTCAAGCAATATTATAATATTAATAGCTGAGACTACCTTTTTAAAAGAAAATTGCATTAAAAGAAACGTATGAAGTTTAAAGTTTCACACATACGTCGTACGTCCGTGTCTGTTCTGAGCGTGTGTGCGTGAAATATTGAGATTTTATTGTCCTAGAATGTGGGCTACTGAGTAAAAGGTCAAATTATTAGTTACGTTAGATGAATTTTATGACAAACGAAAGCTAAGTTTCTCAAAGTATTTCAAAATGTTAGCCGAACTTTAATTTGAAAACCTTAAGATTGACATTTTGTCATCCATTAACATAATGCGTGAAATACAAGCAATATATTACTATAAAAAATATTGCTCATATCCATGGTGATACCACACATACTTTAAAGAGAACATATTGTTACTAATAAATTAACATTGTGCTGCTCATATACAAGCCCAAACTTATGTGTGACTAATAATTTGTTGATTTTCTAGAGCAATCTGTAACATTTCATGCCTTATTTGAAAGTCAAGAAGAAACAGTCACATATGCAATAAGTAATTTTACGCTAAATTACCAAGTGTTAACTAATTTTCTAAGTATATCCCAAGCTGCCAATTATGGGGAAAATTTGGCACATTTTGGGGATGAGCGATGTACGTTATTATCTGGAATTAAGTCTATGCAAATCTGACAAGCTTTAATGCGTCTAATCATCAAAATTCGCAAAAAATTAAAGTACATTAGTACGTTTATCTAGGACTAGGATGAGCTGTCTTTCTCTAGAACAAGACTAACGAAACTAAAGTAACGACAGTTTTATTTCATGCGCGTAGCAAGACGTCCAAACCTCAAGATTGGTTAAATTAACGAACTATTTGTTCCCTGTTATTTCTATCTAACTGATAAGACACCTTAGAATGGTTCTGAATGGAATAAAATCAGCTTTAGCTTGTTGGGCTACCGTATGTTGCAACAGAGTATCACCGTTACCTCCAGGCAGCAACCTGTAGGTTCCTATACCTATAGAGATATGATCGATAAAGGAGAAGGAAGAATGTTTAATCGTAGAAAGGTACTATCATTAGTCCTTGAGAATATTTCAAGTTTTTTCTTGAAGGATTCATGTGAAGTTGCAGCGAATTCCAGCATTTGAGCACTTTCAAAAAGTAGTTGTCTACAGTTCGTTCCACTGTGTTTAGTTTCCAATGTCCGGGTGTTATATCCAACTTTTTTGTTTAGGGTAAGCCTAAGTATGTGTTTAGAGGGATGATTAGAAGTTTTAGGGAGGCTGTAAGCAATTAGAAGGTCACCTCTAAAACGGCTAAACTCTAATGAGTAAAGATTTAGTGATTGAAGGCGCTCTTCATAAGGCTTGAATTTGAATTTCCGAACTGATTTCCTGACGCGCCGTTGGATAATCTACAGAGTGTCCTTATTTTTTTGAGTGAGGAAGGAAATGCTATGTTTCCGTACTCTAAATAAGGACGAATAAAACTGTTGAAGTTTATGTGTAAAGTTCTTCCGTCAATCTGGCCAAAACTGCGCTTCAATGTTAACAGTGCAAGGTTTGCTCGAAAGGCATTTTTGACACAGTCAGGATAGGACTTCAAATCCCAAGGTACAAACACTCCCAAATCTTTTCTCAACTTAGCTGTTGGGAACCTCCAGTTTCGGCTTGTCGACGAGAGGCTGTGTAATTGAGTAAGCTTTTCGGATTGGAGACAAATATATAGATAACCTTTATCTGGTGATGAAGCCTGTCTTTTCTTATCGCCTTTGTGCATATGTTCTATAATTGTTTGTGCTGGTCGTATGCGATGTTGTTATCAGTCCGTTCGTAATCCACCCAGAAGTGCTTTTTACGGCGTGGAAAACCAAGAGTGCGGTACTTGATGACTGTAGGTTACTTGTAGAATCTGAGGACCATTTGCAGAACAGATTGCCGTATGGCACATAAGATCGTGTACAGTAAGAAATCCTAATGAGTATCTACACCATGTTAAGGGCGAACGTTCCAGCCCACTTGCTGCAGATTTACATGTAAAGCTGACACATTCGACCGTTTGAAATTCCAGCGCCTGCTGTTGTTAGGATATCTTGATCAAGTTTTATTGGTAAAACTGAGGATTATGATGGAGTGATAGCTTTTTCTAGGGGAGCCAGAACTGAATAGTTTTTAATCAGTTCTTTTTTGCAAAATACACAGTCTAAGCGAGGTGGCGAATCATAAGAAACATCCGGATCTTGTTGTGTTGTTTTTTAAGTTTAATGGTCGAAAAATCCAGTGAAATTCACCACTAAGTTACACATAACAATCACCCCCCATATCATTAAGAAAGTCTTCTCTCCAAACAATCTATACAACTTTTCGTTCATATGATGTACATATATATATATATATATATATATATATATATATATATATATATATATATATATATACTTATGCCTGTTACTCCTAATGGAGCATAGGCCACCGACCAGCATTCTCCAACCCACTCTGTCCTGGGCCTTCTTTTATAGTTCCATCCAATTCTTGTTCATCTTTTTCATGTCTATTTCCATTTCCTAGCGTAATGTGTTCTTTGGTCTTCCACTTTTCTTTTGGCCTTGAGGATTCCATGTGAGGGCTTGTCTTGTGACGCAGTTGGGTGCTTTCCTCAATGTGTGTCCTATCCACTCCCAGCGCTTCTTTCTGATTTCTTCCTCTGATGGGATCTGGTTTGTTCTCTCCCACAGTAGGTTGTTGCTAATAGTGTCCGGCCAACGGATCCGAAGTATTTTGCGTAGACAAATGTTAATAAACACCTGCATTTTCTGGATGATGGCTTTCGTAGTTCTCCAGGTTTCCGCTCCATACAGTAGAACTGTCTTGACATTTGTATTGAAACTTCTGACCTTAGTGTTGGTTGACAGTTGCTTTGAGTTCCAGATGTTCCTCAGTTGTAAATATGCTGTTCTTGCTTTGTCGATCCGCGCCTTCACATCTGCATCAGATCCACCCTGTTCATCAATGATGCTGCCCAGATATGTAAAGGTTTTTACATCTTCCAAATCTTCTCTGTCAATTGTGACTGTGATTGGTGCATGCTGTGTTGTATCGGAGAATCTTGCTTTTCCCTTTGTGTATACTGAGACCTACTGCTTCTGATGCTGCTGCCACACTGTTCGTCTTCTGCGTTTGTTGTTGCATTTGGGATAGAAGGGCCAGATCATCTGCGAAGTCTAGATCATCCAACTGCATCCTAGATGTCCATTGTATCCTGTGCTTCCCTTCAGATTTTGACGTCTTCAAACTATATGGAGAATGTGACAAAAGAAAACTCAATACTCCACTTTACACGAAAACAACTTAGCACAATCATACCAGAATTGTTCCTAACACCTTTCAAAGCTTACTCACGGCCCCACTTTGAATTTCACAATAATAATGCAGAATCTTTTCTCATGAGACATACACCTCTCATACCAACAACAGAGTTAGACAATGAAGTTCGTGATAGTGAGGTCAGTATCAATGTCAAAGATACAAATAACACTTAATCTGGTGATTTATTTACCTCTAAATATGTTTTGATTCACGGTAGCCAAGTCTATATTAGTCATAACGTATTGCTCGGATCACTCGTTTTGATTCATCGGTCCGTAAGTTGAAGGGCAGGTGGCACCTAAATGACCAAATATATTTGCTCATTTTTCGTTATATGAGCCTTTTTCGCTTACAGAAGATCAAGTGTGATTTTACGTTTTTCAAGACATTTCATCCATGTAAGAAATTCAGATGCAAGTGGACTCGTACAAACCACGAAACTTTACCTTCAAGAACTAACTGTCTGCGATTTGTACACTGAAACTTGAGTATGAAGCTTACAATGAAGACCTGATTCACTGGTTGAATCAAGCTGAGGCACTGTAGAATCACACAAGACTGGCTTTCCCTAAAATCAATTAATTTGGAATTATTTATCTCCGATACTCTCTTAGTCATTTTCTTTCTCCAGTTTATATGTAGAATATGTAATAAATTCACAAATAACTCCACTAAATGTTTTATATTAGTGTGTATGAATAACTACGCGTCAGAAATGTGACAGCAATTAGGTAAGACAACCTCATTGGTTTGAGGCGAATTCACTTGAATAATATCCTTCGTACCTGGTGAATCTACTCCGAAGCATGTACACCGAAAAAGATATTGGATATTTAATCCACATTGACCTTCGAAATAGCTAACCTTGTGTAACTAGGTCCGTTCCTTGAAGGGCTGTAAGATGACAAAAGAAAAACCAGGTTTCCTAACTCCAAAAGCTATATCAAACAGAATCAAATCGAAGGGATTGCAAAAACTGCGATGGTACTGTCAAATGTGTCAAAAACAGTGCAGAGATGAAGTAAGTACCTGCTACTTTCCGACGTTAATTTAAGAATGGTTACAAATGCCATACGATGTCTGAGTCCCACCACAGGCAAATGAAACTTTTTGCCGAAGACGGTGGAAAGTTCATTAGTAGTTTCTCTTCTGATTTTTTGAAAGGATACCTTGACATACTACGTCGACAGTTTGGTGGGAAACGCGTGCATTCCAATGTCGTTTATCAAGAATATATCAAAGACAAAGAACATATACATATGAATGCGACGAGATGGCATACACTTACAGGACTGTGTATGTGGCTTGGAAAACAGGGAATTTGCAAGGTAGATGAAACTGAGAAAGGGTGGTTTATCGAATACATCGATCGCGACCCAGAAAAGTTGAAAAAACAAGAACAGAGTGAGCGTTTGGAAAAGACAGAAGATGAAATCAACAAACAGTTTCTAGGTAAACTCGTGATTTGCTAATTGTATCGATTTATAGAGCGTCAAATAGAACACAATATCAACAAAGTTGAACAAACGGAAGGTCCCGTATACACTCCTCTCATCCGCGCCAACGAAGATGAACCAATTAAATTGGAAATTTCTCTGTCTCAAAAAAAGCCACCTGTCCAGGTGATGAGCACAGAGATTGATCCTTCTCCAAGTTCTTCGGAGGAAAAACCTACTCAAAGTCTAATGACGTTGGGTCCGAAAAAGGAAAGAACTGCAGTAAGCAATCCTATTCTCTTTAATACTAGTGGTTGTCACTTCAGTTGATCGAAGTCATAGTTCAGTGTATTTTATCTTCTCACCAGGTTTTGTTGAAGCTGAATTTTAAGCAAGTATCTTGTTTCTTCTGATAATGACTTCAACTTTTAGACTTAATTTCTACACTTGCGATCGTGGTGTTGTTGCAGTTTTACCGTTTTAACATTTTACACACTTTGACTTTCAGAATCCACTCTTGATTGCTGAGAAAAAAGCACGTGAAGAAAAATCCAAATCTAGTTCTGAAAAGAAGCAAGACACACGTACTACAGCAGTTTCTGGAGTTCGTCGACGTGCCTTGGATGAATTAATGGAAAAAGAAGAAGCTCTTAAAGACAAGAGAAATCGAAGAGATTACTGGATGACAGAAGGGATTGAAGTCAAGCTAATCAATCGCAAACTTCCTGATGATCTACGTTGGAGACATGCCACAGTTTTGAAGATGCTGGATAATTACACGGTTAGTGTGACTAATTATTCATGCACATCATTTAAATTTTATGCAATGCTAATTTACAGAGTCAGACAACATATTCCTCTATTTTGAGGAATGAAACAATTAACCTTATCTTTTGCGATAGTTCCAAGTCTACTGCTGTTTGTATATTTCTCAATGTAGGTTTCACTCTATATCTCCTAAAGCGAGTTTAGCTCCATAATTAACAAGTCGGAAATCTTTTATAACGGTTAGTGTAA